AGAAGTGTAAGAGTTTTTAGACGTGGTGTAGATCTGTGGTCGTGAGGAGCTCAGAGGAGCAGGTGGAGTCACTGATGTCGTTCAGTGAATCATGGTAAAGGTTTCAGAGTAAAATAAACGTCTTGTTTCATAATCAGACGGATGTTCTCGATGTTCTAGAGGAAACCGCCACAGTCAAGTTTTCAGACGGATCTGGACGCACCTTTGTTGAGGTCCAGCTCTTCGTCCTCCTCCTCGTTCTTCTTCTTGTCCTGTTTCTCGGCGGCGTTGTCGTTGGCGTTGGCGTTATCGTTGGCGTTATCGTTGGCGACCCACTGGATCTCGCCGCCCGTTTCCTGCCACTCGCCGCTTTGGTCCAGAGGAGCTTTGGGCGCCTCTTTGATGAGGTCATCAGTCTGCGCCTCCGCCAGCACGGCCGCACGCTCCCTCTGCAAGAACAACTGCAGAACAACAGAGAGACAGGATCAGACCTGTGGCAGAGTGGTTAGCCCCTCTCTTTTATAATAATAATAATAATAATAATAATAATAATAATAATAATAATAAATCTGAACTGAGTCCAAACTGTCAGGAGGAAAACAAACTCCAGGTCTGAAAAAAGAACCAAAACACAAACACAGACAGAGACACAGACAGAGACACGGACAGAGACACGGACAGAGACACGGACAGAGACACGGACAGAGACACAGAGACAGACAGAGACACACAGAGACACAGACAGAGACACGGACAGAGACACAGACAGAGACACGGACAGAGACACGGACAGAGACACAGACAGAGACACGGACAGAGACACGGACAGAGACACGGACAGAGACACAGACAGAGACACAGACAGAGACACGGACCTGCACGAGGGCGGCGATGGCGCTCAGAGTCCCGGTCTGGCCCTGGTCCTGGTGGTTTGGACCTTGGATCACGGTGGTCTCACAGGGTCCGGCCTCCAGCTCCATCTCCATCACGGCGTATCTGTTCCTCGCGCTGTACTCCACCAGGTTTATGAGCAGACCCAGACCCTGAGGAACAAAACACTTGAGAACAAGACCAGAACAGACCCAGAACCAGACCCAGAACCAGACCCAAACCCAAACCCAGACCCTGAGGAACAACACACGTGAGAGTAAGTCCCAGACCCAGACCCAGACCCTGAGGAACAACACACGTGAGAGTAAGTCCCAGACCCAGACCCAGACCCTGGAGGAACAACACACGTGAGAACAAGACCCAGACCCAAACCAAAACCAAGACCCAGACCCAGAGGAACAAAACACATGAGAACGAGACCCAGACCCAAACCCAGACCCTGAGGAACAACACACATGAGAACAAGACCCAAACCCTGATCCAGACCAAAAACCCAGACCCTGAGGAACAACACAGAGTAAGACCCAAACCCAGAGAAAAAACCTAGACCCAGACCCAGACCCTGAGGAACAGCACACGTGAGAACAAGATCCAGACCCAGACCCAGACCCAAGACCCAAACCCAAACCAAGACCCAAACCAAGACCCAAACCCTGATCCAGACCCAGACCCAACCCTGAGGAACAACACACGTGAGAGTAAGACCCAGACCCAAACCCAGACCCAGACCCAGACCCTGGAGAAATCAAACCCAGGACCTGTAAGTAAACACTAAATAAAGTCTCCAAACAGTTCTTAAGGCCATAAAGATTCCCCTTTGTGCTGCCTGTGTTCGGTTTTAAAACATTTTGTCTGTGAACTTGTTCTCGTTGTTGTTGAGAAAAACACTAAACTAAATCCCGGTGAATAATCAGGACTTTTGGATTCCTCACTTTCCAAACCCGGACCATTTCAAAGTGTTTAAAGTGAAACCAAAACTGCAAATAGAAAGAATAAATCGATGGAAATGGCGTAGATTTCTTTTTGTGGTTGGCGTGACTCACCAGGACTCTGATGTCGAATCTTTGCTCCTGGGGCAGAAACTGAGGAACTTTGAGGACACAGTTCAGAGCCGTGGTGATCAGCTCCTCCTGCTCCCCGGTTTTAGTGCTGCCCCATTCTGCAAAGACACAACAACAATAAACAAACAATAAACAAACAACAACAAACAACAGACAAACAACAGACCTCCTCCTCCTCCACCACATCCTCCTCCTCTTCCTCCTCTGACCTTCTGCTCCTCTCATACTCTGCTCCTATCTCCTCTTCTGCTCTTCTTCTCCCTCCTCCTCAACCTCCACCCCAAATTCTCCTCTTCCTCCACCCCTTCTCTCTCCTCCTCTTCTCCTCATCTTCCTCCTCTCCTCTCTCTTCCTCTCCTTCCTCTTCTCCCCTCCTCTTCTTCCGCTCTTCTCCTCTCCTCGTCTTCCTCCACCCTTCCTCTTGCTCTACCCCTCCTCTCCTCTCTCTTCCTCTCCTTCCTCTTCACCCCTCCTCTCCTCTCTCCTCCACCTCTCCTCTGGTGTTGTGAGGAGGCACAGCGCAGCTCAACAGACTCACCCAAAACTTATTTTAATAAAAAAAAGTTTCATAATATATTTTCATTTTGTCAATAATTATAAAAAATCTGAAAATAATTGATTAATTTGTGCTAAAACAGAACCGATATATTTATTTTTTATAAGAAAAATCTGATTATGTTGATGTTTCTGTGTAAATTCAGCAGACGGAGGCAGAAGGACGGAGCCGCGGCTCGTCCTGCACATCCACCGTGTTCAGACAAACTGTTGTTGTTGTTGTTGTGCTACTGATCTGAAACTGAAAATCTTTTCCAGTAAAGGACAAATGTTACAGCAGTAAATTAAACAAACACGAACGGATCATCACAGCGAGCAGAGCTGAAGCAGAGACCAGCACCTCCTGCTCTCTGAAGAAACGTTCAGATTTAAGTGGGAAGTGGGATTAAGACTTGTTTTACGCTCGTGCACTCGACTCCTGGACCGAGCGTCACAGACCAAGACCGGGACCAGGACCAGGTCTGATCTCTTCATACTGGACAATAAAACACTTTTGGAAACAGAACCAACAGGACAGTGAAGAGAGGAAACACTCTGCTTCAGTCTCTGGAGGAAGGGAAGAGGCTCGTTTTAGTTTGGGGCAAATCTGAGGACGAAGCTTCACAGGGAAACAGTGTTAATAGTCGAGTTTGAGCTGACGTCATTGTTATTAAAAACCCGCGTTGCTGCTGGGAAATATTTTGGTCGGAGGCAGAAACACGTTAGCGTCAAACACAGTGTGTAACCTCGTGTATTTCTCCCTGATAATGGTAAATTCCTGCTGCATTATCAGACGCACAAATAGAAACACGGAAGAAGGAAAATTTCTTTTTCGTATTCTGAGTGAAAAGAACCACTAACGGTGAATTAAACGACTTTCAAACATCCGCAGAGCAAACGTAGAAGATCCTAACAAACCGTGGACTCAACAAGTTCAACAACACATCCAGACTCTTGGAGGTTTTCATCTTTTCTGCTGTGAATGGCCCAGGAGTTTCCACCAAGTCATTGTGGATGTCGCCCAAGTGAATATTTGTCCAGGGAGTTGGCGATTCTGACCAGAAATTTGGTTTGGTCCAGACTCTGTCGGGGTTGAAAAGGGTGATTTGTCGTCCGTCGATGTTTATGACCAATTTCTGGTCAAATGGTCTTGGGTCCTCTGCCGTTAGAGTGGAGAAATAACCGGGGTTAAAATCCCTTTACGTGCTTTCTCGCTCCGTCCGTCATGTTCAATTAGTGTTTCTTGCCGCCGACCAAAATAATTCCCAGCATGAAACGCTTTTTTACAAAGCCACACTGAAAGTTACTGTTATGAATATGCACAGATAATGTATCAGTGTATTAGTTGTTTTATGAGGTTAAACGGGGATTTGTTGACGTTTTAATTTAAGGCCCACCTACAGCTGCTCTGTCCCACCCACACCTGGACTCGCGGCTCCGCGCCCGGGTCTCAGTAAACAGTAAAGTCGTGTTAAATCACCGTTGTCGTGCGTGAGGTTGAGCAGGACTCCGATGATGGCCCTCATACAGTCCTGAAGAGCTTTGGCCACGTTCCTCTGAGACCCCGACTCTCTGCTGTACGGCTGAATCATCTGCTCGCACCTCCTCAGGGCCCTGGGCACACAGAAAACACATATTAATTCAGATATTCAAAAACGTGGCAGTAGTGTCCCTGTGTGTCAGATGCCCTCCCTGTGTCTCCATTTGGTCTTGTTGTGTGTAAAAGCTGCTCACCTGAAGTTCAAACCTCTACAAACATGTTCTAAACACATGGGATTCTTGGATTAGATTAAAAGTTCATCTTTTAATCTCTCTCAGATTTTAACGCTCCAGGAGGTTTTAAAAAATGCAACTTAATATTGATTTGAGATTTAGGTTTCAGAACATTCAATTAATGACTGTCAGTTATACGTGGATTTCCCCTCAAAACCTTTTAAACAAAGAACAGCTGAAATGGAGTAACTGAAGTGGAGTGACCAGATTTTCTAAATTCTAAACTGGGACACGCCCGGGTTTGGATGTTTGGTGTGAATAAAATAGTGAAGAGTGTGGAACATTGTGCATTCTCATGTCAGTCATGATCTGAAGGACTTCTGACGCTGCATTTTTTTGCTTTATGGTCATTTGCAAACTCAGTTTTATGTATTTTGGCAAAACAAATGACAATTTATTAAGGGTTGTGTGTGTTTACATTCCTCCACTACATGTGCAGCTACACGGAGACTTGACTCTTTAATATTCACTGATAAATAGTGAATAATGGTGTGATAATAACCACCTGGACCTAAATGTAGCCAAAACCAAAGAAATGGTTGTAGACTTCCGGAAAAAAGTCCACAGCCCAATAGTTCCATCCATGGGGAAGCAGTAAAAATGCTGGACTCTTATAAATACTTGGGAACTGTGTTTGATTCCTCTTTAAGGTTCGATAAGAAAACTGAGCACATCGTCAAACGAGGACAGCAGCAGGTTCAGCTCAGCTCTTTTAATGTATCGTCTAATATTTTAAATCATTTTGATCATTGTTTTATTGAAAGTTTGCTGATCTTTTCTTTTATTTGTTGGTTTTATGGATTTTCTGTGAAAGACGAGAGTCTGAACCAGATTGTAAAAGTTTGCAGCAAAATCATTGGTTTTCAGTTGAAGGATTTGGAGTCTGTGGAGACATCAGGTGTTACAAAAGACTAAGGCCAAACTGAGGCAGACTGACCGTGTCCTGCACTCACAGTTCATGAAGATGTCCTCTGGGAGGCGCTATGTCCCCACAGCAAAACACTAACCACTACAACAAACCTCTTCTTCTTCTGCCATAAGGATTTTAAATGGAAAGTGAATTTGTTCCTGTGTCCCTGATGCTCTGAGGTTCGAACGTCTGGTGTCTTTCTTTTTCTTTATTATTTATATTTATATATTGTGCGTGACCAGAGATGTGCCAACTGAACTGCCCTTTGGGATTAATAAAGTTATTGATTGATTGATTCTAATCCGTGGTTAGTGCAGTGTTTCCGCAGCGCTTTATAGTTAGAGCGGCCTCCATCACAACGTCCCTCCGAACCACGAGAATCGTCGCAAAACTCCAGTTGTCGTGCCCTGGTTCCCCTCCCCCAAAAACATCTGAAGCTTGAGTAAAAGTTCATGCTGGAACCTTTAGTGCTGAGCTTTACTTTTTTTTTTTTAAGTTTTGTTTACTGTTTACAAGGAATACATTTTTTATAATATTTCATACATTTGCTGCTTATTTGAGAATGTTTTATTGAACTTATTATTTTAACCAAGCAGCACTTTGCAGTTATTTTATTTTCCCGTTTGTATAAAGTTCAAACCAATTGTTGGTTTAATAAAAACACAAATTACAACAAATGGTTTTGGCATTTTGTTCCCAAACTGAACCAAAAATGAACCAAACGACGGACGTACAGAACCGTGATTTTTGTACCGTTACACCCCGACAATCTGTGCTTCTCTTTACTGTGATAGTCCTGGTTTAGTCCTGTTTTAGTTATGTTTTAGTCCTGTTTAGACCTGGTTTAGACCTGGTTTAGACCTGGTTTAGACCTGGTTTAGACCTGGTTTAGACCTGGTTTAGACCTGGTTTAGTCCTGGTTTAGTCCTGGTTTAGTCCTGTCTTAGACCTGTTGTAGTCCTGTTGTAGTCCTGTTTTAGTCCTGTTTTAGTCCTGTTTTAGTCATGTTTTAGTCATGTTTTAGTCATGGTTTAGTCCTGGTTTAGACCTGGTTTAGACCTGGTTTAGACCTGGTTTAGACCTGGTTTAGTCCTGGTTTAGACCTGGTTTAGACCTGGTTTAGACCTGGTTTAGTCCTGGTTTAGTCCTGGTTTAGTCCTGGTTTAGTCCTGTCTTAGACCTGTTGTAGTCCTGTTGTAGTCCTGTTGTAGTCATGTCTTAGACCTGGTTTAGTCCTGTTGTAGTCCCGGTTTAGATCAGATTGGTCAAAAGTTGAGACACTGGGACATTTCTTGTATAAATTGGGACAAATCGGTGTTTTTGTATAAATCTTTTGGGACGGGGGACACGGGGACAAACTGGGACTGTCCCGGGGCCGTGGGGACGTCTGGTCTCCTGGTCTCCACTCTGTCCTCACCCAGAGCAGATCTCAGAGCAGCAGATGTTTCTTCTGTTCCACGTCCAGACTCAGAAATAACTCGATTTAAACTAATGACGGAGTGAATCGTGCGTGTGTCCTGCTCTGCCCCGAGAGGAAAGATCACACCCAAAACTCCGATTCACTCTAAAGACGTTAGAAAAGAGCTCTGAGGTTTTTTTTATCTCAGAGTTCGTGACGCGGCTCGGGCTCGTTCATGAATCTGGCGTCTGAATCTGTTTTTTCCAGAACCGACTCATTAAGATAAAAAGATAAAACATTTGGCTGTTTGGAGAATCTGAGTTAAAGATACAAACTCCTTGAAGTCTTTTTGATGGGCACGTTTTCAGACAAAAACACGGTGTAAAGGTGCACTGTGTAACTTTTCTGGTGCTTGTTTCCATGGAGACGTCACTGCTCTGTCTGGAATGTTCCACAGTGTGACTTTAAACAGCTCAACTTTACGTTTGTTCAATTACAGGTGGATTTAAAGAGCAAAAAATACTGAAAAAAAGAACAGACAGACAGACTGACTGTGAGCAGGGTCGCCTCTCCACAGATCTGACCTGGAACTTGGTCTGGTATAAAAAGGTTTAATGCCATATTGTGGAACATTCCAGGTAAAGCAATAAAAGCAGGACTAAACCAGGACTGAACCGGGACTGAACCGGGACTGAACCGGGACTGAACCGGGACTAAACCGGGACTGAACCGGGACTGAACCGGGACTGAACCGGGACTGAACCGGGACTGAACCAGGACTGAACCAGGACTAAACCAGGACTAAACCAGGACTGAAACAAAAATACCTAGAAAAGCTGACTGAGCGGGGTCGCCTCTCCATAGATCCGACCTGTAACTTGGTCTGGTCTGGTCTCCGTGAAGATAGAAAGCTTTAAGTATGTAAGTAAATGTATAAAACCCGACCGTGGGCACATGTTTGGAGGATAAAGTGAAGAGTCCGTGAGTTTGAGCAGAAGTTCTGTTGTGCAGTGGCCTTAGATTAAACCCCGTCTTTAATAATGAGCTTTTATTAAAAACATGCGTCTGCCTCAGAGTTTGTGGGTTCAGACTTCAGGAGGTTTGATGGTCCAGTGTGAGGAGGGTCTGTGTGACGGACAGAGCGCAGGAGGGAGGAGGGGAGGAGGGGAGGAGGGTCTGAGGGTCTGAGGGTCGGAGGGTCTGAGGGTCTGGAGGGTCTGAGGGTCTGGGGGGTCTGGGGTCTTTGGGGTAATAGAGTTAGAGCAGCTGAAGCTCAGGCCTGGACTCGCTCTTCACAAACGCTCTTTGTTTAGAAGCTTCCTGAAGTTCACAAGTTGAGCCCAGAGAGAGTCACATCGGCACTTTTAAACTTTATGATGAACTTAAAGTGAATATTACCTCATCTCCTCACTTCTATCAAGTATTAAGTGTAACTCAGAACATGTGTGTCGCACTAATCAAACTCCTGCTCGTCACATCAGGTCTGTCCAGTCGCTGTGTTCAGTTTTGTGTCATGTTTTATGTATTTATGGAGACTTGTTGTGTGGGAGTGTGGGAGCAGAGCCGGTCCCTGTGCCGGTCCCTGTGCCGGTCCCCGTGCCGGTCCCGGTTCAGTCCTTGTTCAGTCCTTGTTCAGTCCGGCATCTCAGTTTAAGTCACGGTAAACGGCCGTAAACCCTTTTTTCCATTTTTCATTTAAACATAAAATCGAAAACTTTTTGGTTTTAAAGACAAATACTGAAGAAAATAGTTGTTTTTTCTTTGTCTTATTTTTGGTTTTATATTGAAAAACTAATGAACGAATGACACAGGGATTTAAAATCTCCAGGTCGATGCTGCGTCCGTGTTTAGGCGACTTCTGTAAACTCTAAGCACACTTACTGTGTGTGACGCCGTCGTGTCCAGTGCACATGCGGGACACTTTTGGAGCATTTAAAGTTCACACTGGAGATCAGACACAAGTCACATTTAACTGGAAATATGAACGAGCTCACAAAAAAACCCCATTAAACCTGCAGTCTGAACGTAGACTTAGATGAAGAACAACTTTAGAACATGAGAAAGGTAAAAAAAAAAACATAACTTTTTCATAACACCCCCTCTTTAATGTTAATGTTTAGACAGTCAGGAGCAGATCTGGTTATGATCCTGATCTGGACCGGGCTGGAGTCGGTTCTTACTTGGCGGAGGAGACGATGAGGGAGGAGTCCTTGTAGGCGATGAGGTAGCTCTGGTTCTCCGGGTTATGGACCGTGACCTGGGATCAAACAGAAGAGTGAAGCTCACAGAGGACAGGCCCTTTCAAAATAAAAGCTCCGTGTTAGACTCACGCTCTCGAGCACTCGCAGACAACGCTCCGCCCCCCACAGAGACGACACCAGCTGCTCCTCGTCCTCCTCCTGGGTCAGGTGATCCACACACTCTTTCACTGAACAGCACAGAGGAAAGTCTGTTTAGATCAGGGGTCTACAAACTTTTTCAGGGTTCACACTCTTTTTCCACTCACAAAATCTCAAAACTTTTCCATGACTTTTTCATGTCTAAAGTACGGCTGTGCGATTAATAGAAATTTGATCTGATTTTATTTCAGTTTTTTGTGTCAAATGTTCTCCAAACTCATAATCGAGTTAAAACGATCTTAACAAAGCTTATTTTGGGATATTTTTGATATAAATAAGTCTATTATTTGATTTTTAAATATAGAAATTGTAGAACAGCTGGATATAGAGTTTATTTTGAAGACTTTTTTCTGCCTTATTTCATGTTCAAAGTTTATTTTATTCATCGTTTTATTCATAGTTTTATACATCGCAAAACTGCTTTAAGGTTCATATTTGTAGTCTACATTTATTTACAATTTGAAAGTTTTGTGAAAATTATCAATAACAAATAGTTTTGGGGCTTTTTTTGAGAGAGAAACGCTGAATAAAAGCATCGTGTAACTAAAAAATAATTGTCTGAATAATCGTGATTTTAATATTGACCGAAATAATCGTGATAATGATTTCTTGAGCAGCTCTAACCTAAAGTGAGTTTTCCACGACTTTCCAGCACCTACATGTGCAGAATTGATCAGACTTTTAGGTCTAATTCTGAAATGTTTTTAACATTCTAAATCCTGTCAGCGTTTTTATTGTCGTCTCTTTTAAACAAACGGTGCAGATGTTCAGAAATAATCAGAACAGACTCATGAGAACTGAACACAACACTGGAGCGAAGGGAAAGAGACTAAAATGTCATGACTTTTCCAGGATTTCCATGACTGTGGGAACTCTGCTTTTTCCTCCTGTGAGTTACTTTCTGTAAAATGAAAATGTCAGAGAGCTGCTTGTTTCACCGTTTGTCAGAAACACAGTAAATATAAGAGCCACAGTGAGCCTCAGACGGAACAGTCAGAGTCTATAAAACATAAACCATTTATCACTTCACAAAGTTCAACATAAATATGACACATTTACGATAGAAACAGGCATTTAATCAATCAAATGTTAGTTATTCAGCGCAACACGTATAATTAAAAAGTCCGTCGCTACTTAGAAGTGGGAGGAGAGTAGGTGTGCAAAAATATTGAAATATCAAAATATCGTATTGTTTAATGTGATGATACAGTATCGATATCATGGGCTGCTGTATCCAGTGTTGGGGAGTAACAGATTATAAGTACCAGTTACGTAATCAGAGTACAAATGATGAGTAACTGTATTCAGTTACAGTTACTGTTTCAGTGAGTGGTGATTGGATTACAGTTACTTTGTTGAAATAAATGGATTACACAGAGGGATTTTCCAGTTTTTGGGCTATATCCCCTCATTTTTTATTTATTTTTTGGTAATTCCACTCATTGCCGGAAACTAAACCAAGTCTAAACTAGATCTAAACCAGGTCTAAACCAGGTCTAAACCAGGACTAAAACCAGGTCTAAACTAAATCTAAACTAAATCTAAACCAGGTCTAAACCAGCACTAAATCCAGGACTAAACAAGGACTAAAACCAGGTCTAAACTAAATCTAAACCAGGTCTAAATCCAGGACTAAAACCAGGACTAAAACCAGGACTAAAACAGGATTAAAACATGCCTAAACCAGGATTTAACAGGACTAAACCAGGTCTAATATTATTTATAATAATATTTTTAATGTGGTTCAGTAAAGTCTGGGCTTTTTATTTTCTTTTAGCAGACAAAACATCTTATGTTACAATATCCTAGTCTTTGCTTCTCTACAGCAAATCAAGTAATCCAAAGTAATCAGATTACATTACTCACTTTAAGTAATTTAATGGATTCCGTTACAAACTACATTTTGGTGTATGTAATCTGTAATCTGTAGGGGATTACATTTTAAAAGTCACCTTCCCAACACTGGCTGTATCGATATATCGTCAAGAGGATTTTTTGGTTTATTTTACTAAATTATTTTGTCACAGCTAGTTTTGTTGTTTGTTCAGAGGAAGAAAACTCGTTGACATTTTCACTGTTTTGAGGATTAAAATGTTTGTGTTTCATTTTAACTTTCCACAAGAAAAACTTTTAGTATCACAGCCACAATTGTTTAGACTTTATTTTTATTGAACCGCACTGAATTGAATTAAATATATTTTACTGAATCATATTGAATCGTAAGATCACTGTATCGAGCCCAAGTTTGACTACCCCAAATTTAAGACTTTTTAAAGACCATTTTAAGACGACTTGAATGAAAATTAAGACCAACATCACCCCCATTATGTGGACGAAAAACACCAGGTCTAATTCTAATAATGACCAAACAACTACAGGTACTAAATCTAGAATCTAAGAGCCGATGTGGATTAAACAGACACTTCCCCATGATCCATCCACCGTTTCTTCCACTCTACTGATCATTTCCTCACGGTCGTCAGAGCCACAAACCAAATATTGTTTGTGCAGACTCCAAATTAGACGTTCATTCACGTTACGTTATTTCACGCTGTTGTTTTTTTTCCCTCCCTCTGTTTAACATCGCACTGCAGCCCAATGGAGTATACAAAAAAATAGGCTCATTAAATTTAGACATTTGTGAAAAAAATAAGACCTGGACAACAGAATTTAAGACTTTTTAAGGCCTTCATTTAGGAACATGAAATTTAAGACCTTTTTAAGACTTTTAAGACCTCACGGCTGCACTGATTAAAATGTTTGTGTTTCATTTTAACTTTGTAAGAAAGACTTTATAATATCACAGGAAGATTTTATAGACTTTTTTTTTTTATTGAACTGTATCAAATCGAAATATATCGTACTGAATCATATCGAATCGTAAAATCACAGTGTCAAGGTGTGTATCATATCGGCAACTTCTGACTGATCCCAGCCCTAGTGGAGAGCTGCTGGCTGGAGATCCCTGGTTTAGATCATCTTTATTTAAACCATCAGAGCTCAACGATCAGTAACTTTATAAACCAACATTAGGTTTAGAGGTTTCGATTTAAACAGAAAACTTGATCCGTCTCTTTCCTCATCCTGACCTTTGTCTACGATGTGGTCGAGTCCTCCCAGCAGACGCAGCTCCTCTTTGAACCAGTCTCCGGCTCGTTTGGACGTCAGAGAGAGGAGGGTCTCCATGGCCAAGTGTCCCGTCTACGGCAACCCAACAGGGACAAACACAGATCAGACGTACGTGAAAAGACGTGAAAGTTTAACCTGCGCACACAGACTCTCCTCTCACCGTGATGTTCTGCAGGTCCAGGTGTTTGTTGTGAACGGTGTCACACAGCTTTCGGATCTTCTCTTTTATTTTGGCGATCTCTCTGGCGCTGAGCTGAGCCGAGCCCACCGCCGCCTTCTGGTCCTGGTCCAGTTCGAGGAGCCGGATCATCAGGTCCAGACAGGACCGGTCCAGATCCATGTTGAGTCTGTCTCTGCTCAGGATGTACATGAGCGCGGCCGTGCACAGGGACAGGTTCTGCAGGAGCGGGGAGTCAGTCAGTGTTTAATCTGTATTTACTCTGACATCATCAAGTGGATCCACAGAACAATTCAGACTGGATTTAAAAACAAAAGAACAGGCTCTGGTGGAGTTCAGACTGAAGAACATGACGATGTCATACTCCCACAGGGACATTGAACACATTCTACTCACAAATGTTGAACCTGATCGTTCCTGTTAGTGACTAGAGCCCAGTCACATGAAGATTTAGCATCGATATCAGTGATTTTAAATACCATATTTTGCGCACTATAGGGTGCAATTAAACTTAAAAGTTTTTAATTTCATCAAAAAACAATTGCGCGCCTTATAATCCAGAGCGTTTTATATATGAATTTATTGTTGTGTCTTAGTACGACTTTAGTAAAGTACAAAGCCGCTCCACTTGCAGCGTTACGATAGTAATAGGGGCGGAAGTAGCTCAGTTGGTAGAGCATTCGCCCACTGATCTAAAGGTTGGCAGTTTGAATCCAGCTCTCAACATAAACATCACAGGTTGAGTGGTCAGATCCACTAACCCACAGGTTGCTGGTGTGATTCCAGCTCCCACAGATGAATGCTGCCGTTGTGTCCTTGGGCAAGACACTTAACCCACCTTGCCCACAGTGTGTGCTGTGTGTTGTAAAGCGCTTTGAGCCTTGAAGGTGGAAAAGTGCTATAGAAAAATGTGACCATTTTCCATTACGGCTCCCGTCGTCAGGATCAGGAGTAAAACAGACTGTGATTCCTTTTAATCTCAAAATGCACCTGTCAAGAGACTCGCTCACAACGCCCACTTTAAACTCAAGACTGTTGTAAAGTGAAAGTGCGTTTAGCTGCGTGGGAGCAGTGGATGAGAGAAGGAGAACAAACATTCACCACTGTGGTCCGAGCTTTCACCAAGACCAGAATCATCACTGAACTGAACTCCAGGGAACAAGAACCACACTGACGAGATCATGACAGACGGATGTGGACGTGTGGACGACAGAATCACACAACTGTTTCAACTATTATGACTTTGAATACGAGAACAATTTAACGTCTCAGACAGGATTTATTTACACGTTACAACTGAACAAAGTTGAGAGTTATGTTGAACGCGATAACTAAAGTTTGACTGACTTATTGAACTGTTGTGTTTTGTTTAATGCTCCTTATAATCCAGTGAGGTTTATATATATGTATATAGTGCGCAAAATACGGTACTTAGACAAAATCGAGTGCAGACAAAGTCACTTCACTCTAAAAACTGAAAACTGTAGCTCAACCTGTACCTGTATCAAGCTCTTGAGGTTAAATTTCACAGAATCTTATTATTATCTTATTTACAAAGACAAAAGACAATGAACTTTGTGTTGTTTCTGATTTTCTTTGGAGATTTATGATTCAAATCTCTGTCGTTATTTGGCCGATCCACATGAAACAGTGTCTGAGTGGTCTGTGGGTGCAGTTCCTGACCTGGTGCTGGGGGGCGTCGTTGAGCGTCTTAAAGACCTGAGCCACTTTCCCTCGAGCTCTGAGGTGCATCCTGAAGCTGGGCATGGCACAGCGGGTGGCCAGACTGATCACACTGAAACACACACACAAGGACTGCTCAGGTAACAGCAGCAAAGGACAACTGGACCCTAAACCAAGTCGAGGTCCAGGGTCCAGGGTCCAGGGTCCAGTCCAGATCCAGGGTTCAGTCAGCAAAAGATAACTGGACCCTAAACCAAGTCTAGGTCCAGTGTCCAGGGTCCAAGGTCCCATCTCAAGTCCAGTCCCTCGGTCCAGTTCCTTGCTCCCGTCCCTTCCTCTCGTCCCTCAGTCCAGTCCCTCGGTCCAGTCCCAGTCCAGGTCCAGTCCTTTGGTCAAATCCTAGTCCCCTGGTCCATGTCGAGTTCTTGGTTCAGCCCCTGGCCCAGTCTCCGGTCCAGGTCTAGTCCCAAAGTCCAGGTCCAGTCCCTCGGTCCAGTCTCTCGGTCCAATCCCAGTCCCAGCCCTAAGGTCCATGTGGAAGTTCAAGGTTCAGCCCCTGGCCCAGTCTCCGGTCCAGGTCCAGTCCCCAGTCCAGTCCCGGTCTGGTCCGTGTTGTACCTGAGGCAGCGTGTGTTCAGGGGTTGTCCCGTCTTCAGTCCGGTTGCCAGATATTCAAAATCATCGGTGAATTCCTGGTTTTCTCCAAACTCCACCACGTCGTTGAAATGTTTCACGTGCTGCACCACCGTGTACAGCTGCAAACACACACACACAAACACACACAAACACACACACACAAACACACACACACACACACAAACACACATACACATACACAAATTAAATTTTACATTTTACTTGCAAATGAAAAAGTCCCCAGCGTTTGGCTGAGCTCTGCCCCTGTCTGTGTGTGTGTGTGTGTGTGTGTGTCTCTGTCCTCAGAGCTTCAGACTCAGATCAGAGGAAAGAGACATTAGACTAAAAATATGACTCATTTATTTCATTACCAACATCAGCTGTGCTACTGGATGATGTCATAGTTCTGCTGGAGGATGACGTCATAGTTGTGTTCAGAATATACTACTACAACTTTCACAACGGCCTGAAGTGCCCCGCGGTAGAGTAAACATCAATTCTGGTTAATGTTTTCCTGTGTAAATGTGTTTGTGTAAATGTGTGTGTATAAATGTGTGTGTATAAGTGTGTGTGTAAATGTGTGTGTAAGTGTGTGTGTAAATGTGTTTGTTACATGGTGTGATTGACAGTAAACTTCACTTTGACTTTGACTTTCTGTTTCTTCTGTTTTCGTTGACTTTTACGTGAAGCACTTTGGTCAGCTGAAGTTGTTTTAAACGTGTTATATAAATATTTTTGCCAGAGTAAAAAGGTTTGAGTGTCATTGTTGGAGACAGTGCGGCCGCTCAAACGTCAGTCACTCACATGAAGAAAATTAAAATCATTCTTAGACAATGTGTTTGAAAGAACAGACACGATCGAGACTTATGTCGTCCCCAAGGACCCAGAGATATTTTTGTTTGACCTTCTGCCTGGAGAGGCAAAAAAGCAGACAAAACCTTTTTAAGATTCTGACACTGGCATCAAAAAAGCAATAACAAGAAGCCATCTTAAAAAGGACCCACCGTCAGTGAATCAGCGCCTCGACATTAAAGAAGAAATAAACTGAAAGAATGACTGTTTTTTTTTCTACAACTCAAAGGACGTTTCTACTTTAAACACTGGACAAAATGATTGGAACTAGGAATGGGAGATTAGTCGATTAATCGATAATTAATCATTAAGAATTTCATCGATTACGTTCATTTTAATCGACAAACTGAATGTATGTTGCTGTGTGTCGTGACCAAACAGGTGTGTACATGTGTCTCTGCATCAGAAGGAGCGAGACACAAACAGTGGGTCAGTCTGTAACGAACCGAAGCACAAATGTGGATTTAACCAGGATTTGTAGAAGAAATTCCACACTTTCCGTTGCGTTGGGACAAGTGTGAGTCCATGTGCACAGTGGATAAAGCAGCACATATGTTTCTGTGTCCAGTGGGAAAAAGTTTTTCCAGGTGAGAGTCGCTCAATGTGGATGACGAGGCCCCGCCCCCCTCCCCCCGTACGCTGTCCTGGTTTTGACAAACACAAATCTGGTCACACTGACCTGTATTCACCTGAGTCATGTCTTTTAATCCAACACAAGTTGAACCACATCAGCGACACAAGAGCTGGAGTTTTATCTTCACTTAGTTTATGTAAATTAGTGATGTGGTTTTAAGTTTTGTTTCTGTGAGATTTGAACAAAACTGAATTAAACACATTATAATGTCAAACAGCTGATGTGGATCTAGAGTCGTTATGTTTATATGTCGTAAAGTTGAATTTATTGATGCAGATTAGTGCAGATAGTAATAATAATGATGATCATTTTAATAGAAAAACGTTCATGATTAATCGATAATCGATCGTTAATTCTTCCGACAATTGATTCAGAAAATTTCATCGAATGCCCGTCCCTAGTTGGAATATAAACAAAAAGATACAAAAAGAGACATGATCCACTGTTCCACATCCTTATTGAAGTAGAACAGTGCCTCAAGCTTTGGATTAACTTTGTATTAACTTGAAAAATGAATAAATAAATAAAGTGCTATATACATAAACTTGAACTGAACTGAATCAATACCTGTGAAAAATGATTCTCTAGTTTGGACATTAGTTTTATTATGGATTATTATTTTCCCAGCTCTGGGTGAGAGGTTTGGGCGGACGTACCTCCTTGTGCTCCTTGTGGCAGCGCAGGGCGGTGACCGTGTCCTGACAGGGGTCTGCAGACACTTTCACACATTTGGAGACTTTGGGCGGAGGGGGCGGAGCCTTGAACACGCCGTCGTCTTTGGGCGGAGGCTCGGTGGGTTCACTACTGCTGCTGCTGCTGCTGCTGCTGCTGCTGCTGCTGCTGCTGCTGCTCGCTCCGGGCACCAAGCTCTGAGAAGAGACAGAGAGAGACAGAAATGATTTTTAAAAAGTGCACTACGGGACTTAATGGGTGGAGCGTCACCATGGAAACAGACATGTGACAGAAGTTCTCTAACAGATAATCCTGTGTTTCTATCAATTATCAGATCATCTTTCACTGTTTCCATCATCCATGTTCTTCCTCTTCTCTGGGTCTCGGGGGCATCAGTCTGAACAGAGACTCCCAGACTTCCTTCACCCCAGACACTTCCTCCAGCTCCTCCAGTGGGACCTGAGGTGTTCCCAGTCCAGTCCAGAGACATGGTCCCTCCAGTGTGTCCTGGGTCTTCCCCGGGGCCTCCTCCCGGTGGGACATGAACACCTCCTGAGGGAGGTGCCATTTGTTTTTTCTTACTCACTGCAAATTTCTCTGATCTGGCCAAGATTTTAAAACTTATATCAGGTTCTTCATCTTGATTTCACATTTATTTTCTACTTAATCATTCTGACACTGCTTCATTCTCGTCTAGAGGCTGTTTATTTTAAGAGAACTTGTCAAGTAAATTCTCTTGCTGCATGGATAATTTCACTACTTTCAAGTTTTACTTTTTACATTTTCTGATAGATTTAAGTGTTTATATCTTAAATTTTGGCCAAACTGGATAAAACACGTGTAATTGAGTAACCACAGGGGCAGACATGACTAATGCCAAACTGTGGAACATTCCAGTCAAAGCAAAATTACCCAGAGACACGTGGAAAAGCAAGTCGAGCGTGAAAAACAAGTGCCCGACATTAAACCGCACAAGTCTGACAGTTACACTGTTCACAAGAACATGATCAGTGAACAGGATTAGATCAGGGTTCATCTGTTTTGTCATCACAAAAACACATAAACACACATACGCGCACATACACACACACAAACAAACACACACAAACGCACGCACGCACACAAACAAACGCACGCACGCACGCACACAAACACACATACAAACGTGCGCACACACACACAAACACAAACACACCCCAACACACAAATGCACACACACACACAAACACACAAACACACACGCACACACGCAAACACACATACAAACATACAAACGCACACACACACAAACACACGCACGCACACACAAACACAAACACACACACACGCACACACGCATGCACACACACAAAAACAAACACACAAACGCACACAAACACACACACAAACATACACAAACACAAACACACAAATGCACACACAAACACAAACACACACAAACACACAAACACACACACACACACACACAAACACAACACACACTAGATGTGATTCACTAGAATCATTTGGATCATTTCAGTCCTGGAACCACAGGCCTGAACTGAACTGGAGGTAAAAGGATCTGTTCAATTCATGAAATGTATTTTACAAAATCAGAGACCAGGAACAAGTTGTAGTAAAAACAACAGAAGAGAGAAGAACAAACTGTTAACACTGTCACATATTTCACAGTTCTTCAGATAAACTAGAAACAACAGAACAGAACAAGTTGAACAAACTCTCCATCTCACTCCAAATCACTAAATCACTTCAAGTTCTTCATCCTCGTGTCACTTCTGAACAACTCGACCTCCGGAGGGAAACAGAGCGACGCAAACTCTTCTGTGTCGCTGTCGTCCAGAGTCGTGACTTGGACTCGAGTCATGACTTGAGTCACTATTTTTAGGTCTTGAGACTTGACTCGATAAAATGGACTAAGACTTGGGACTCGACCTGGACTTGAAGCTCATTGACCTGGGACTTGACTCGGACTTGAGGAACTGTGATTTGAGAAGCACTTTACAAATCTGAATTCTTTCAGTTCTGACCGTAATGATTCACTCGAAGATCTTGTCGAGACGTTTAAAAAGGAAAAACTTTCATTTCTACAACTCTTATATACTCTCTAAATACTTATATATACATTTACTATGATTTTTAAAGTACAATTTAGTTTAAAATTCACATAAACTGCAGAAATCTAAACTATATTTGGTAGTTTTTTGGTTTAAAGACTTGAAATGACTTGAAGCTCAAAGCAGACGACTTGGACTTGAGTTCGACTTGTGGCCCAGTGACTTGGACTTGCCTGTATTTGACTTGGGACTTGACTCAGACTTGAGGTCAAAGACTTGACACTTGTAAAACAAAGACTTAGTCCCACGTCTGCTGTGGTCAGACTCAGCATCAGTTCAGTTAGAATTATTCTGGTCTTTCTGAATCTCGACAGGTGGTTTCAGTGTCACTGAAGTCCAGACTTTGTCCATCATCCAGTGACTTCAGGAAAGTTTCACCGTGGACCTGCCCGGTTACTATGAAGCCGTGTTCTCCATCCCCGCTTTCCGCCAGTGCCTCTCAAGTTTCTCAGTCACTCCAAACTTTCTTTCTGTTGCTCGATTACCGTTTTCGGCTGAATATTTCACTATTTGCAGTGAGACAGCGGCTTTTTCTACAGGAGACATGCGCAGTAGAGTGAAGTGACAGTGGTACAGGAGGAACAGTCGTACCAGATCCTCACACACAAGACCAGAACCTCTCGCAGCTGTCAGACTGAAAGTTTTAATGTATAAGTCACAGTAAACACCCAAATCATGGAAAAAAAGTGCAACTTATAGTCCGAAAAATACAGTAATTATCAGTTTGAGTGTGATGTGTGAGTTGAAGAGCAGGACTGACCGGAGCAGACGGGGGTTTGCAGAGGAACGCCGGGGGAGGAGCCTCTTCACTGTCCACGGCCCAGTGTCGAGCGTTGTACACGGCTTTAGTGGGAGACTGGAACACAAACACACACAAAATATAAACAATAAACACACACATGAACAAAACACACAAAATATAAACAATAAACACACAAACAAACAAACAAACAAATGCACACATTAAACCAGGGTTTCTCAAATGTGGTACGAGCACGACTGGGGGAACGTGAGCCAGAGAACCAGGACTGAACCAGGACTAAACCAAGACTGAGCCAGGAACGAACCAAGACTGAACCAAGACTGAACCAGGACTGAACCAGAACCGAACCAGGACTGAACCAGGACCGAACCAGGACTACATCAGGACTGAACCAGCACTACATCAGGACTGAACCACTACTGAACCAAGACTGAACCAAGTCTGAACCAGGACTGAACCAGAACTGAAACAAGACTGAACCAAGACTGAACTAAGACTAAAACACAAAAAACAGAACTAATTCATTTCAAACTGTACTTTTCACAACTCTCAGACACCAGAGCTGACAACAACTAGCATGCCAACCTCACCCTTCCTGATTCTCTGACTCAAAAACTGGACTTATTTTGATCTCCGGAGCCATTTATGAAAAAAATACTTTAAGTCCTGACATGAGAGAATTAGGCCGGGGGTTTTTCATTTAGTTTTCGGCGTCCGGGGCCTCGGCAGCGCGCTCGGACTCCTCGCCGTGTCATAGATTATTGCTCTTTTGTCTGGCCGTCCCCCCCCCTGAGCGTCCTCGTCTCTCCTGCCAAACCCCGCTCCTCCTCTTTTGTTTTTCCTGATTAAACCCTGACGCCACACGCCACAGGTCCGAGTCTGAGCCAACGACGGTGCTGCCCACTGCTGGTCCCGGCCCACACACGGCACCGTCGCTGCCAAAACAGAGCGCCGGGTTTGAAGACGGAACACGAAAAGAAGAAAACATTTGACTGGAATTTGAATAAAAATGTAAAAAAAATAAATAAAAAAACCCCCGCAAAAACATAAACGAGTGTGATGGGGTAAAAAACTAGAGTCTAAACTAAAACAGGACTAAACCAGGACTAAACCAGGACTGACGCTGCATTTACACTTGTGTTAAAAATGGGACTAAACCGGGACTAAACCCAGAAATAAACCTGGACTAGACCAAGACTTAACCAGGACCAGAATGGGACCAAAACAGTTACACATCAGAATTAAATCGGGCTCAAACCAAGTGTGAACACAAACTAAACCAAAATAAAACCAGAATTGAACCGAGACTGAACCAGGCCTAAAACAGGTCTAAACCAGGACTGAACCAGGACTAAACAAAGGCTAAATCAGGACCAAATCAAGACAAAATCATGACAAAAGAGGAACTAAACCAGGACTAAACCAAGACTTAAACCAGAATTGAACCAGGACTGAACCAAGACTGAACCAGGACTAAACCAGGATAAAACCAGGACTAAACTAGGACTAAACCAGGACCAGAATTTAAGACCAAATCTGGACTACCTCAGCAAGAACCAACAGGATCACAAATCAAATCAGGACCAACCAAACCAAGACTAAACCAAAGAGGAACAAGGTAAACCAGAAGAAAAAACAGGACTGAACCAGGTCCTAACCAGGACCTAACCAAGATCTAACCAAGACCTAACCAAGACCTAACCAAGACCTAACCAAGATCTAACCAAGACCTAACCAAGACCTAACCAGGACCTAACCAAGACCTAACCAGGACCTAACCAAGACCTAACCAGGACTAAACCAAACTAAGGCTTACATAAACGTCACATTCGAAATGGTGCCAAACAGGGACTAAACCAAGATTAAACCAGGACTGAAAGAGGGCTGACCCAGGACCAAACCAAAACCAAACCAGATTCAAATTAAGCCCAAACCAAACCAGGATTAAACCAGGGCCAAACTAGGACCAAATTAAGCCCAAACCAAAACAGGATTAAACCAGGGCCAAACTAGGACCAAATCAAGACCAAATCAAGACAAAATCAAGACAAAATCATGACTGAACCAGGACAAAACCAGGACTAAAAACCAGGTCTAAACCAGGACCAAACCAGGACTAAACCAGTATTAGAGAGAGCAAACCCTGGCCTGTCGCCTCATTTGATCTTGGCTCGATTTTTAAACCCGACTTACCGCTCGCGGCTTTAAAACAAAAGCCGGACTCGCTCGGGGACCGTCTGAGACAAAAGGGGGATTCTGGAGATGAGCGAAAATAAACGAGACCTGAGCCAAATCTGGTCCCACCTGACGCCTCAGAGGTTCAAACGGAGCCCACTCGGGGGGTAAGAGCAGGGGCACGTCTCAGCCAGCCAGCAGGGGGCGGCGTGGGCGGGCGAGGGGGCGGCGTGGGCGGGCGTGGGGTTTGTTTGGCATGTTTTTACACTTTGGGCACTTCCTGCAGTTTTGGCAAATGTTGAAAAGATGAGGTCTGATCATAAAAAGCGTGAGGAGCATTCGACCGACACGAGGCCATTTCTGAACAAAACAAGAATCATTTTCATTTCTGATCGTCAACAAGAGCCTCAAAGTCGCCACGTTCACATGAGAGATTTAATTCTGAATAAAAATGAATTCCGCTTTAAAAAAGAACATGTGAACATTTAATTCCAAATGAAAATTATTTGGAATTAATCTTAATCCTGAAGTAAGTGTTTGTAAGTGAATTTCGTCCTGGATCATGTTTCTCGTTTATTCTTGTTAAAAATAATTCTGCTCGTTGGGTCGTTCTTCTGACGCGATCTGGCTCCACTTGTTTTCAAAATTCTGCAGTTTTTTTTTTTCTCAGCCTAAGGTAAAACAAGAAAACACTATTTCAGGTCTAAATCCTGACTAAATCTGCACTACTTCAGGACTACTTCAGGACTAAAGCAGGACTAAAGCAGGATTATTTCAGGACCATTTTCAGGACAATTTTGGGATTATTTCAGAATAATTTTCAGGATTAAATCAGGACTTTATCACTATATCTGGACTATTTCAGGACTACTTCAGGACTATTTTTAGGACTAAATCAGGACTATTTTAGGACTAAATCAGGACTATTTCAGGACTAAATCAGGATGATATTCTGGACTATTTCAGGACTATTTTTAGGACTAAATCAGGACTATTTTAGGACTAAATCAGGACTAAATTAGGACTATTTCAGGACTATATTCTGGACTATTTCAGGACTCTTTCACAGGACTAAATCAGGACTATTTCAGAACTAAATCAGGACTGTTTCAGGACTAAATTAGGTCTATTTCAGGACTATATTCTGGACTATTTCAGGACTCTTTCACAGGACTAAATCAGGACTATTTCAGAACTAAATCAGGACTGTTTCAGGACTAAATCAGGACTCTTTCACAGGACTATTTTAGGACTTAATTAGGACTATTTCAGAACTAAATCAGGACTGTTTCAGGACTAAATTAGGACTCTTTCAGGACTATATTCTGGACTAAATTAGGACTATTTCAGGACTATATTCTAGACTATTTCAGGACTCTTTCACAGGACTAAATCAGGACTATTTTAGGACTAAATCAGGACTATATCAGGACTAAAATGTAAACCAGGTCTAAGTCTGGATGAGTCACAACCATTAGGACTTTTGTAGATTAATGTTCTTCACACAAATAAATAAAAGAAACATCCTGACAGCGCCTGAGCTTCTCTCACTTTCACGTTTCGCTCTCAGACTAAAGACACGGCGGACTCCTCTGACCTTCTTGTGGGCGCTGAAGATCCTCCTGAAAGAGTCCGGGTTCTTCTCTGTGGTTTTACTCTGAGCAGGGGCTCGACGCGGAGCTCCAGCCAGAACCCTCAGGCCCTCCTCTGAGAAGTCCAGCACATCTGAGGGAGAACGGAGCAGACGAGGAGGTCAGAGGAGCAGACAAGAAGATTAGAGGAGCAGAGGAGAAGGTCAGCAGGAGGAGAAGTTCAGAGGGTTAGATCAGCAGAGGAGCAGAGGAGAGGGTCAAAGGGTTAGAGGAGCAAAGGAGAAGGTCAGCAGGAGGAGATGTTCAGAGGGTTAGATCAGCAGAGGAGCAGAGGAGAGGGTCAAAGGGTTAGAGGAGCAAAGGAGAAGGTCAGCAGGAGGAGAAGTTCAGAGGGTTAGATCAGCAGAGGAGCAGAGGAGAGGGTCAGAGGAGCAGAAGTTCAGAGGAGGAAAAGTTCAGAAGGTCAGAGAATCAGAGGGGAGGGTCAGATGTTCAGAGGGTCAGAGGAGATGTTCCGCACCTGTTCGTGTGTTACTGTTGTGTCGTTCTGAGTTCTTCTTGTTCTCCGCTGGTTTCTCTCTCGTCCACTCGTTCTTCTCTCGCTCGTTCTTCTCGTTCGTCTGAAATCTGTCCATTCTCTCCAAACGGTCGAATCTGTCGAAGGGGTCCTCCACCTCCTCCACCTCCTCCACCTCCTCACAGGGCTGTACGACACAAACCAGGACTGAACCAGGACCGAACCAGGACTAAACCAGGACTAAACCAGGACTGAACCAGGACAGAACCAGGACTGAACCAGGACTAAACCAGGACCAAACCAGGACCGAACCAGGACTAAACCAGGACTAAACCAGGACTAAACCAGGACAGAACCAGGACAGAACCAGGACCGAACCAGGACCGAACCAGGACTAAACCAGGACTAAACCAGGACTAAACCAGGACAGAACCAGGACTAAACCAGGACTGAACAAGGACTAAACCAGGACTAAACCAGGACTGAACCAGGACTAAACCAGGACTGAACCAGGACTAAACCAGGACTGAACCAGGACTAAACCAGGACTGAACAAGGACTAAACCAGGACTGAACAAGGACTAAACCAGGACTAAAGCAAAACTAAACCAGGAGTAAATCAGGACTAAACCAGGACTTAATCAGGATTAAATCAGGACTAAACCAAGACTAAACTAGGATTTAAAACAGGACTAAAAACAGGATTAAACAAAGACCAAACCAGGACTAAACCAGGACTTAATCAGGATTAAATCAGGACTAAACCAAGACTAAACTAGGATTTAAAACAGGACTAAAAACAGGATTAAACAAAGACCAAACCAGGACTAAACCAGGACTAAACCAGGACTTAATCAGGATTAAATCAGGACTAAACCAAGACTAAACTAGGATTTAAAACAGGACTAAAAACAGGATTAAACAAAGACCAAACCAGGACTAAACCAGGACTTAATCAGGATTAAATCAGGACTAAACCAAGACTAAACTAGGATTTAAAACAGGACTAAAAACAGGATTAAACAAAGACCAAACCAGGACTAAACCAGCTCTAGAGCAGGACCAAACCAGGACTAAACCAGGACTGAACCAGGACTAAACCAGGTCTAGAGCAGGACTTTACCTCCTCTTGCATCTCCTCTTCCTCCATGTTTGGTCTCATCTTGCGCTTGGCTTTCCTCCGCTCTTTGGCGCCCCCTTCCTCTCCGTCGCTGTCGCTCATGTCGTCGAAGCCGAAGTATTTGATTTTGTAATTGGACGCTCCGTCTGAGGGGGCGGGGCCGTCGGAGGGGGAGGAGCTGTTCTGGTTCTGACCCGAGTCGTCCTCGAACCCGAACAAGTCCGACCTGCTCTGCTTCTGTTTGGACTGAGGAGCCCCGAACCTGGACCAGAGAAAAAGAGTGACTCAGGGAAAGTAAAAGAGCAGCAGCTGGAGGAGGCACCGGCCGCGGCTCAGTTCTGTTTCCTCGCTTCCTTCTCCTTGATTCCTCTCCTCCAATCTGCGGGAAACGGGTGAGGAAGTCCCGCCCACAGAGGAGACACAGCGACACACCAAGGAGAGAGCATCTAAACTCCTCACTGAGACCAACAGAATTTGATTCTTTTCTCTGGTGTCTGCTCCTGAACTTCCCTCAGGTTTACTCGATCATTCTGTGTATTCTCACATTTAAACTCTAATCTCTGTGTTTTCTCACGTTTAAACTCTAAACTCTGTGTATTCTCACGTTTAAACTCTAAACTCTGTGTATTCTCACGTTTAAACTGTGTATTCTCACGTTTAAACTCTAAACTTTTTACATAGTTCATGTTTTCATTGTTGATTGGGTAAATTCTGTTTTAAATCTCTAAACAAAAGTCGACAGGATGTTTTGCGTGGATAATGATCCGTATCTGCGGTGCTGCGTGGTTTCGTTTACCCAGCATGCTTTGGGCCTCTCCACCTGCTCGTCGTCTCACCTGGAGTTGTGTTCCGTCTTCTTCCTCCACGGCACGTCGCCCGTGTCGCCCGCGACGCCTGCAGGGGGCGCCGTCTCTGTGGTCCGCTCCTGAATGGTCACGTTACACGCCGACATAGAGGAAGGATGCAGCACGGTGTAGTCCCGCCCCCTGCCCCCCGCGCCCACCGTTTTACTTTCACTTTCACTTTTAAGCGTCTCAAACACAGAGTCGTTAGTGTCTTTGTTTTTAACGGGTCTCCTGTAAGTCCGGCACACCGTGTTTCTGACCAGCGTGGACGAATACTCCGAACTGTCCGAGGTGAGGGTCTGCGGCGGCGACGGCGGTTTCTCGTAACCCGTCGACGCCCACAGGGAAGGGGTGGTGTGCCGCGGCTCCTGATTGGCCGAGGGGGAGGGCGGGCGCAGTCCGAAGATGGCGTCCCATTGGTCGGGGGCGGAGGAGGAGGCGGGGTCAGCTTTGGGGCCCGTTTTTAAAGTGGTAGTTTGAGCCAAAGGTTTGCGGTCGCTCTCGGACGCGTTCTGGTACCACGAGTAACTGAGCTGAGGGTCCGAGGACGGGTACGAGGACGGGTACGAGGACGGGTACGAGGACGGGTACGACCACTGAGGCTTCCCTGAAAACAGAGACAGTGTGATTAAAAACAGGGTCCGTTAGGGCTGGGCGATATGGATCAAAAAATATATCTGGATATATTTCGCTATATCTCGATATACGATATATATCTCGATATCTGTACAGGAAAAATAACCAACTAAAACTGTAAACTGCAAAAACAAATCTGCCAAATTCCACAATGTCTTTTTTTGTGTAAGTGTAAGAGGTCAGCAGTTCATATAGAACATTTAAGATTACAAAAAACCCTAATTACATAAATAATAATTTAACTGTAAAATCAAAAAAAATATAATACATATTTCATTCTTTTCATTCATAAATAAAACAACTCAACACAAGCTCATCTTTGCATTAACTCCAGAACCATAATCATAACCATGAGCTCCTTCAGCAGAAGCAGCTCAGGATGTTCTTATTTCAACAGATCCATGTTCTTATCCAGCGTCAGGATCTGAGGTTTCCCACAATCCACTGCAGATCAAACCCAACAACACTATTGTACAAGGTACACTGCAACAGATTATTAATTAAAATCTTTTAATCTTTTCAAATTTTTTTTGTTTTGTTTTGAAACTTAAAAAGTGCATGGCTCATTTGCATAAACAGTTCACTCCACGTGCCGCTCCTGCGGTTCAACTTCTTTTGGACTAAAGGTGGAACATGAGGATGTGCTGCTGCTGCTGCTGGTGGTTTTGTCTGTAAATGGTGGAAAAGTTCTGTGGCGCTAGAAGCTTCTCACTGGCAACAACTTTCACACTCACAGCGACAGTGACGAGTGAATGAGACACGAGCGAATGAAATCAGGGAGGCGACGACAGAGAAAACAAGCAAAGCGGCGAAATCAGAATTGAATATAAGCTTTATATCGATATATACGATACGTCAGAATTCATATCGAGTTAAAAAAATATCTCGATATATTTTAAATATCTCGATATATTTAAAATATCGAGATATCGCCCATCCCTAGCGTCGGGACTAACGGCTTTGAAAAGGAACTAAATATCGAGCTTTGAGGACAGGACACCCTGCTCCACGGGCTCAGGGTTCTCTCAGGGGAGGAATTAGATCACAAGTCCTAGTCCTGGTACAGTCCTCGGTCCAGTCCTCGGCTCAGTCCTGGGTCCAGTCCTCGGTTCAGTCCTCAGTCCAGTCCTCCGTTCAGTCCTCCATTCAGTCCTCGGTCCAGTCCAATACTCGGTCCAGTCCTCGGTCCAGTCCTCGGTCCAGTCCTCGGTCCAGTCCTCGGTCCAGTTCTCGGTCCAGTCCTCGGTCCAGTCCTCGGTCCAGTCCTCGGTCCAGTCCAGGTTCAGTCCTCGGTCCAGTCCACAATCAAACATCCCAGGGCTGCACTTTAAAAACGTCGTTCATGTATTTGTGACCTCGAGGCTCGATGACCGTACGTCTCTGTGAGCTGCACTGACCAGGCCCGCCTCAGACGCCTGTTCTTAATCCCTGCACTGGCTCCCTGTACATTTTAGAATCCATTTAAAACATTTGAATAATTGTTTTTAAGAATTTGTGGTCACCTTAAATGTGGCAGAAGCTTTTTGTTCCTACATGAACCGTTGACCTCTTGTACTTAAATAAAAAAAGACCTTGTGGAATTTGACGTATTTGTTTTTGTAGTAGTTTTAGGGGGTTATTTTTCCTGTACACAAATCGAGGTATATTATTGTATATCGAGATGTAACAAAATCTAAGCAGATATATATTTTGCTCCATATGGCCCGGCTCTAGCGTGGGGGTCTTGTATTAAGCAGTTCAGATTTCAGTCTCTCTCAAATATTAACACTCCTTTTAAACATGTTTAAAAAGTTAAAACATAAATTGCAAATATAACCACAGAGTTCTTCAGAAAAAGTACATTTGATATTTTTCCAAACGTGCTCAGTCCTGATTTGGTAAAATGAGTCAGATCTGAAACTGCAGTGGAACCTTTTCAAAAACACCCCTGAACATTTGATGAAAAAAAAAAAAAAAAAAAAGACCCTAACCACGTCTTTGTTTTTATGAAGATGCCACTTCCTGTTTCCTCTGGTCTGACCTTCTCTTCACTCGAGAGCTCTACAAAAAAACTGCAAGGTTAACCACAATCAAATCACACTCAAAACTTGAATGGATGCGATTGGCAAATCACAAAATCTCCTGATCTGTTTTGCATCAAAGCGTTGAACCCTGCGGTTTAGATCTGAACAGGTTCTGAAATGTGATCCTCGTGTTTGTGTCACTTCAGATTTCACTCTGTCAGTGTTTAAAATGTGAACTTTGATCAGAATCTTATTATTAAAACGTAAATAACAAATGTTTATCAGCTCTACAACAGAGTCCTGCGGTGATCAGTAGGGGTGTGCAAAAATATTGAAATATCGTTATATCGTATCGTTTAATGTAATGATACAGTACCGATATCGTGGGCTGCTGTATCAATATATCGCGTATCGAGTATTTTTCGTGTATTTTACTAAAGTATTTTGTTACAGCTACAGTTTTGTTGTTTGTTTAGTGGAAGGAAACTCATTCACACGGCAAAAAGGTTCGTTAAAATGAAAAATAAGAACATTTGACTTTATCTGAGTCGACTCTACCAGTTTTTCTAAGTTCAAGCGACATTCGATTTTTTATTTTAAGGGTTGTTGTTTTTCATATTTTAAGAACAAAAAAATCGTGTTCCGCTGATGGATAATTTAACTTGTCAAGTGGAATTTACTCAAATCACGACAAAACTTTCTCAATTCAAGTCATCTTAACTTGGCTAGATTAAATTTTTTGCAATGCATGCGACACATTTGACATTTTCACAGTTTTAGAGGATTCAAATGTTTTTGTTTCATATTCACTTTGCACAAGAAGAAGTGGTTTAACTAAGACTTTTAGTGTCACAGCCACGATTTAGCCTTTATTTTTATTGAACGGTATCGAATCAATTTGAAACATATCGTATCGAATCGTAAGTTCACTGTATCGAAATATGTATCGTATCGAGGCCTGTGTATCGAGGTATGTATCGTATTGGCATCTTCTTATTGATACCCAACCCTCGACACTGTCATTAAATTAACTATTCTCGAACTTTTTTCACGAATAAACAGCGTGGGACTTTAAATGAAACCCAACAGTGTGATGTGTGAGTGGTTTTGTTTGTTTGTTCACGGTGACTCTGGGTGTGTTCAGTTGTGGCGTGTAGGGAGGGTGTGTCTGGGACCAACGGATTGTCGGCGTGTTCGCAGTGACTCAGTTGTTAATCTGTTTTTATTATGATTTTAAAGTATTTCTTATTCTGTAAAGCACTTTGAATTACTTTGTGTACGAAAATAAACTTGCCTTGCGTCTACGTGGCACATTGCACTCGCTTTTTTCGGTTTGTTCCTCCGTTCCGTTCCTCGTCGGCGTGGAGTGATGAGTGTCTGTGGGTGTGTTTCGTTGTGCGGCCGCTGTCTGCTCCGTGTGTGTTTGTGTGTTCTGTGTGTGTTTGTGTGTTCTGTGTGTGTTCTGTGTGTGTTTGTGTGTTCTGTGTGTGTTCTGTGTGTTTGTGTGTTCTGTGTGTGTGTGTGTGTGTTGTGTGTGTTCTGTGTGGGTTTGTGTGTTCTGTGTGTGTTTGTGTGTGTGTGTGTGTGTTCTGTGTGTTTGTGTGTTCTGTGTGTGTTTGTGTGTGTTTGTGTGTTCTGTGTGTGTTGTGTGTGTTCTGTGTGGTTTGTGTGTGTTCTGTGTGGGTTTGTGTGTTCTGTGTGTGTTCTGTGTGTGTTCTGTGTGTGTGTGTCTGTGTGTGTTTGTGTGTTTGTGTGTTCTGTGTGTGTTTGTGTGTTCTGTGTGGGTTTGTGTGTTCTGTGTGTGTTCTGTGTGTGTTCTGTGTGTGTTCTGTGTGTGTTCTGTGTGTTCTGTGTTCTGTGTGTGTGTGTGTGTGTTCTGTGTGTGTCTGTGTGTGTTGTGTGTGTGTTCTGTGTGTGTGTTTGTGTGTTCTGTGTGTGTGTGTTCTGTGTGTTCTGTGTGTGTGTGTGTGTTCTGTGTGTGTGTGTGTGTTCTGTGTGTGTGTGTTCTGTGTGTGTTCTGTGTGTGTGTGTTCTGTGTGTGTGTGTGTGTTTGTGTGTTCTGTGTGTGTGTTCTGTGTGTGTGTGTTCTGTGTGTGTGTGTGTGTGTTCTGTGTGTGTTTGTGTGTTCTGTGTGGTGTTTGTGTGTTCTGTGTGTGTTGTGTGTGTTCTGTGTGTGTTCTGTGTGTGTCTGTGTGTGTGTGTGTGTGTGTTCTGTGTGTGTTCTGTGTGTGTGTGTTCTGTGTGTGTGTTTTGTGTGTTCTGTGTGTGTTTGTGTGTGTGTGTTCTGTGTGTGTTCTGTGTGTGTGTGTGTTGTGTGTGTTCTGTGTGTGTTTGTGTGTTCTGTGTGTGTGTGTGTTGTGTGTGTTCTGTGTGTGTGTGTTCTGTGTGTGTTGTGTGTGTTCTGTGTGTGTTTTGTGTGTGTGTGTTGTGTGTTCTGTGTGTGTTTTGTGTGTTCTGTGTGTGTTTTGTGTGTTGTGTGTGTGTGTTTGTGTGTTTGTGTGTGTGTGTGTGTTTGTGTGTTCTGTGTGGGTTTGTGTGTTCTGTGTGTGTTCTGTGTGTTCTGTGTGTGTTTGTGTGTTCTGTGTGTGTTCTGTGTGTGTGTGTGTGTTTGTGTGTTCTGTGTGTGTTTGTGTGTTCTGTGTGTGTTTGTGTGTTCTGTGTGTGTTTGTGTGTTCTGTGTGTGTTTGTGTGTTCTGTGTGTGTTGTGTGTGTTCTGTGTGTGTTTGTGTGTTCTGTGTGTGTTGTGTGTGTTTGTGTGTGTTGTGTGTTGTGTGTGTTCTGTGTGTGTCTGTGTGTGTTCTGTGTGTGTTCTGTGTGTGTGTTTGTGTGTTCTGTGTGTGTTCTGTGTTGTGTTCTGTGTGTTTGTGTGTGTGTGTGTGTGTGTGTGTTCTGTGTGTTGTGTGTGTTTTTGTGTGTTTGTGTGTTGTGTGTGTGTTCTGTGTGTGTTCTGTGTGTGTGTTCTGTGTGTGTGTGTTCTGTGTGTGTGTGTTTGTGTGTTCCTGTGTGGTGTGTTCTGTGTGTGTGTGTGTTCTGTGTGTGTTTGTGTGTTCTGTGTGTGTTCTGTGTGTGTGTGTTCTGTGTGTGTGTGTTGTGTGTGTGTGTGTGTTCTGTGTGTGTGTTCCGTGGGTGGTGTGTGTTTGTAGTTTACTGAAGTCGTGCTGGGACACCTGAGTGGATTCATGTATGGGGAGCTCTGGATTGCAGCGCGTGGTCACTTTTTGATGGGATTGGAGGCTTCAGAGTGCGTCTAATAGCCCGGAAAATACGGTAATCAAAGTACAAATTGAGTAACTGTATTCGGTTACAGTTACTGTTTCAGTGAGTGGTAATTGGATTACAGTTACTTTGCTGAAATAAATGGATTACGAGGCGGTATTTTCCTGTTTTCACATTTTGTGCTACATCCCATTTATTTATTTATTTATTTTTATTTCCGTAATTCCACTCATTGCCGGAAACCAACACAGAACGCGGCAGTAAGAGCGATGTAAACGTCATGTTCACGTTGGCGGCGTCAGTCACACAGTGGACGAGGTCGAAGAGCCAGTAGAACAGAGGCAGCAGTGCACAGGGAAAAACACATTCAAGTCTTGGAAATTCATCTCCTGACATGAGATATAAAAGAAAATAACAAATATAAAATCTCCTACAACTTAAATGGTCCTGGTCAAGCAGAAGTAAACAACAAGGCCAAAAATTCAAGTTAATGCATCTGATATAAAAATGTATTGAACAGATACATATGTACTCTAGTTTATGAAACTGTTGACCTTTTTTCTGTTCCATTTTTGGTTCTAAAGTTCCATACATTTTAAACAGACCATGTATGAAACATGGAACAAAAATTATTTCCCACATTTCAAAGACCTGCAAATCATGTATCACAGCCACGATTTAGCCTTTATTTTTTACTGAACAGTATCGAATCGATATGAAATATATCATATCGAATCGAAAGTGCACTGTATCGAGATATGTATCGTATCGTGGCCTGTGTATCGAGGTATGTATCGTATCGACAACTTCTTAATGATACCCAGTCCTACCTGAGACACACAGAAACACAAACACACACACACACACACACACACACACACACACACAAACACACACAAACTGTCATTGAGACTGTCATTAAAAGATCAGATACAGGAGCAAAGGGGCCAAAAAATCTGATTTGAGTCACTTGAGTCTGAACGTGGCCTTATAGTCTAGAAAACACGGTACTTTTAGTTCTTACCTAAACTTGCAGAGCTGCTGTTGATCCTCTGGTCTCCTCTGTCTCTGTCTGCCCACGATGACGTAGCCGTGGTCGTGTTCGTGTTCGAGATTCCCATGACACTCTCCCAGCTCGGCGTAAGCGACGTGGCCCCCGCTCCCGTCTGCTTCTCCTGTTTCTCCGGCGTCTTCACTCTGGACGAGACGGGCTTGGACTCCTCGTCGCTGTCGAACCCGAACGGATCGTCGTCTCCTCCGGCTCGCGGGCGCTTGCAGACCTCGGCGCAGGCTTCGTTCTTGGGTCCGGCGCCGCGCTTCGACGCCACTTTGGCCTTGTATTTGGTGTCTCCCCATTTGGTGCTGAGGGTCCCGCGTTTGGTGGACAGAACCTCGTCGAACTTGGACGCGCCATCGCCTCCTTTACGGCTGTAGGTTTTACCGAATCTGGAGGTCATTGTGGCATCTGGCTCATATTCTCTGAAACAAAAACACTGAAGTTAACCATGACATAACAGGACTGAAAAATTAATACAACACTTCCAGAACTGTGGGCGTTTTGTTGATTCAGTCTGTCAGTGGTGTCTTAGTTGACCAAAATGAGTATAAGTTGACCAATAATTTTATTTAAATGAAGATTTCTATGGAACAACAGCAGAAAGGAGAAGTGTGTGAGCTGAAGTTTTACTATTTTTTGTATTTCTCTGTAAAAAAGTCAGATTAAACTCATGATTCAGTGTTGAGTCTGTCTTTAGATAATATAAATAATTAAATTTCTTTGTACTTTTCTGCATAAATAGTAGTTTTCTGATCTATCACAGAGATCTGTAAGGATGTAATGATCCCAAAAATCCTTACAAAACTGTGAATATGCTACTTTTTCCTCATAAAAGCCTTGGAAACGTCGTGAAAAGTCTTTGGTGCTGTTATAATATGAAGAATTCCGATGTAAAAGTGCTTAATATCAGTTATTTCTTCATGTAGTCTGCACTGACACAGCAAAGGATCATGGTCTACGTAGTTCCTTCTGTTTTTTAGCTACTGCTGCACCAAGTTCATTGAAGAAAGACATTAAAATCACCATAATTATTAATTTAAGCAAACAGACTTGTAATTCGATATATTGTGAGAGTTTTGACGATACAATCACGATATTTCGGTTATAGTTACGTGCCTACAAATGTGTAAGAGTTTTGAGTACAGTGACCAGAATTTCAAAATAAAAAACTGTGACATCCCCATGTTCTTGTTTTTTTGTGAAATTATTGCATAATTAAGGAAAACTGTGATGCAGAGCTCATTCATGACTAATATTTTCTTTGTGTTTTGGTCGTTTTTAAGCAGCTTTTCTGTATTTTACCAAAACAAATGTCAGTTTATGTTTCTCTTTACTGTTGGCAGGATGAGACTGGTCAAAAATAGAGACACCTGGGACATTTCTTGTGTAAAACTGGGACAAATCAGTGGTTTTGGATAAATCCGCTGGGACAGGGAACACTGGACTCAAAACTGGGACTGTAAATTGGTAAACAGGGACTGATCTCGGTCTTTAATCCTAAAAGAATATATTTAGTCGACTACAGACGTACATGACACTAACTTTGGTGATACAGTTTTGATAAATCATCATCAATCATCATTTGCAGTTAGTCCAGAATTCTGCTGCGCGTCTTTTAACGGGGAGCAAAAAGTGCCATCGCATTACCCCAGTTCTTACGTCGCTGCACTGGCTTCCTGTTAATTTTAGAATTGATTTTAAGGTTTTATTATTTGTTTTTAAAGCTTTGAATGTTCTGGCCCCATGTTACATCTCTGACCTCATCCAGATTTACACCCCCGCACGCTCTGAGGTCTGAGGTCCAGCTCCAGCTCGTGGTGCCTAAAACGAGACTTGAAGCCTGGAGGACAGGACCTTCTCCGTGACCGAACCCAACTCTGGCTTTTAATACCGGATGAGTTGTGCGGTCCTCTGGATTTTATTTTTTTTATTTGTTTTATTTTTATTTATTTAATTTTTTTTTAATTATTATTTAAATTTTTTATTTTTTTTATATAAATTTTATTTTTTATGTATTGCTTTTATTATTTTTGTTCATTGATTTTATTATTTTTTTATTTATTGATTCTATTAGTTTCCTCTTGTTTTTTTGTTTGTTTATTTTTTTTAAGTTGCTGTGTGAAGCACTTTGGAAACTGTTCTGTGTATAAAATGTGCTCTACAAATAAAGTTGGATGGGATGAGATAAATTTGGCTGCTGTATCATTGTATAACATTTATGGAGTAGAACGAGATATAATTTTCGAGACTGGATCTACGAGAACGAGATTTTTACATTTATTGTAAATAAATTTTGTAATTGCCTTCACCGTTTTTGATTTTACTGTATTTAACATTTTTGCTGTAGCACAAATTTTTGTGACTACAGCTTCTCAAAAAACTGAAAAAATCTCGCTGGTACTTAACTTTTTATCGAATCCAAATGTAAAAACATGGGGGATTTTTTTTTTTCTCATGTGTGCACCGTCTCACCACAGTTTGGTCACACGAGATCTAATCCCATCCCCAATAACAGTATTTTTTGGTAAATTTCACTAAAGTAATATATAACAGCTCTACAATTTTATTATTTTTGTTTTTGTTCAGAATATAACGTGGAATATATCGATTATCACATCTATCGCCAAGTCATATTATTGTATCGGGAGCTGCATATTGAGTATTGTATCATATCATGAGGGGATTAGAGCCAAACTTGACAATCAAAAGGATTTTACCGCAGTTCAGAGCTCATTTTATCCATTCTAATCAGTTAAATCTTGTAACTGTAATGCACTGTGGCATTTTTACAACTTAAATATGTCGGCGTTTGCTAACAAAACTTTAAAACGGGAATTTCAGAGGCGTTTTCTTAATTCCGGTGTTGAAAAATAGGAATTAGAAAGTCAAACATTGCATCAGGATTTCCAAACCCTGGACATACAGTGAGGTTAGGTCTGTGTTTACTAGTTTGGCTCAGAGATGTTGACAGGTGAAAAACTACAACTCCCATTTGTCAAATAACTCATCTCAGCCTCCATGTGCCTAAAAAACACTGTTACTGAGACTTTTCTACATGATAAAAACATTTAAATTCGGTGAAGGTCTTTTTGTGACCAGGGTTCAACACCAAATCTCCAAATGCCCCCAATGCCGACCATCTCAGATCTGACCAACAGCACAAGTGTAAAAGTCCAGATTCTACAAGGACATTTGCCAAATTTTAACCCTTGAAAATCTGAAAGACCGACCATAAATATTGTCAGGGAGAAGTTGACAATATATTTTTTAATGACAAAACTATAAAGAATTGGGAGATAAAATTTGGGACTTTTCTTGTTGGAAAGTTTGTGAACCTCCTAGAATTTTTTTCAGTCAAATCTGAGATGGTCGAGCGGAGGCGTTTGGAGATTTAGCGTGTAATGACCCAAATAACTCATCAAACACCGGTGTGGTGAAGGATTTTGACCCCGTGGTGAAGTGACCCCTATACTGGTCTGTTGACCCCCTATGAAAATCTGTATTTTATTAATAAACAACTTGAATTCTACAGAAAAACTTTGAATATTAATACTATATCTGCAAATTAAAACATATTGACATATTTAAAAGTGTTTTTTGAAGAACTCAGATGCATTTTTTATGTCGATTATAACTTTTGAATGTTAAAAATGACTTAGTTGTTTAAACATATTTGACTGAAAATGAGATAAGTCGTTATTAATGAGTTACGTAATTAAAGTGATGTATAATGATTTGGAATCTTGTTAAAATAGACAGAGCAGATCAGTTGAGTAGTTAAACAGGGGAAACCTGTGACTACAGTAATCTGACCCCCCGATATGTTTATTATAGTTCTGATGATGTAAAGTAAGAAGTCATGTTAGTTGAATATTGACAACAATCAATTATATATAAAAAAGGTCAAAATCCTATGACTATAGTAATCTGACCCCCAATATGTTTATTATAACACAGGCATGTCCAAACTATGGCCCGTGGGCCAAATGCGGCCCTCGGACAAATTTTTCTTGGCCCTCAGGGTTCCAGGTGACTTGGCCCAAATTACCTTACATAAATTAAAAATGTACTTTTTATTGCAAGGTTGTTGTTTTTTTTAAATCTACCTTGATAAAGCAAATATTGAATATTTAGTGTGTGGTTTTAAGGATCTTAGCGTGAATAAAGACTAATGGCTCATTCTAATGTGTTAAACATGCACATATTTCAATTATTCCCTGTACTGAGCACCAGTCTACGACCCTCGATCAGCCCTCTGCTTCATCTGTGTTTAGAAATGTGACCCTTGATGAAAAAAGTTTGGACCCTCCTATTATAACAGAACATGACTAAATTCAAGGTCATTATTCTTACAAACCATTGCCTAAATTGACATTATGATTAAGTATAACCTGAACAGAGCGAACTAAAAACCAGAACGATGTAAAATACAATATAAAAAGTGACAGGATTTCTATGTATATGCAATTTTAACAATATATTATATTTACACAAAATACCAAGTCATTCTCCATCAAAACATTCCTTCAAATACCTTAAAAGAAAGTGAATATAATAATGACATGAGAAATAATGATCAGATAAGAAACGACTAAAGAAAAAAGTAAGAGGAGTCTAAATCCTATGGGGGGGTCACTTTACTATAGCGCTATGTTCACCCCGGGGTGAAAGTCCTCTCTCACATCAGCTCGAACGTCCCCTGGGCTTGAAACTCATTCTCTCGGCTTGAACATCCCCCTCCTCCCTCCAGGCGCCCCCTTCTCTTGGGCGGCACATGGGTACCTGCTGTGCCCGGGAGAGGGGGGAATGTTAAGGCTGGCGAGAAAATCAGCTTCTATATGGTAATAAAATAAAATGTGAATGAACCAGACCAAACGTGGGGCCTCGTTTATCTCATTTTACTGATCTCCCCAAAGCGACACACATTTTTTCAGTTTGTAATATCAACATAATCCTCATTTGCTCATAGAAGTTTACTGTGAAATCATATTTTAAATATTTTTTTCTTGTTTCCCATGTCCTAGAGCTTCTGTAACAGTAGATTTGGGAAGAAAAGCTACAGAATTTGTTCAAAAATCATCCCTGAAACATGTCACATAAAATCCTCAAGTAGTTGCAGCACAGTTGAGACCACTTTTTTTTTTTTTTTTTGGTATGTATGAACAAATGTGTTGAGATATATTTTAACTTGCGTATGTACAAAACATATAATGACAAAAGAGGTTTATTGTTTTTTTTTATGTATATAGATGAACTGATTTAGTTTCAAAAAAGGTACAATTGAGTGGGACTTTCCAGCTGGTTCCCAAATCATCTCATCCTCCATCTGCCTAAAAAACGCTCTTACTGAGATTTTTCTTGATTCTAAGACGTTTAAATTTGGTGAAGGCCTTTTTGTTCCCAAGCCACTAGGCCTGAACCTTGAAAACCACACGCAGCAAATCATAACAAACCAACAAAAATGTGCAAAAAAGTTACACTAAAAACACAAAATCCTCTAAAAACGTGAATAAATACTCGTTTAAGTGACAGAACAATGATGTTACATTTCCTCTACCAGCGCGCCAAAAGCCTGGAGAGATATTTACAAAGACAGAGCAGATAATAATCTCCCATTTTGAGTTGTTTGGATGCATTTTGACGAGATTCTGCTAATACTAGCCGCAAATTAAAGCTCATAAGTTCTTAAAACTCACTCCGTTTGCTGCCGGAACATGGTTTAGAAATAAATAACAACTTAAACGTTGATTTAAGCCGGGATATGCTGATTATAAAGTCAAATTAAACATTTTCAGGACGTAAATACAGAAGTTTTAGCAGTTAGCATTAGCGCTGTAGCAAAATGAGCTAAATGCTAACAATAACTAGCACCAGGCTCCGCTCAAAGAGACGCGCAAAACACAGACAAAAAAAGCGCCGTTTTTAATAAAACTGCACATTTAGAAACAGGGAAGTGGACTCTTACTTGGTGCATTAAAGAACCGGTCCGAATAAACCCCGATTCCCAACCGGGCCTGGACAATTACCGACTTTATCCGAACCAAACCGAACCGAGCCGAGCGCGTCCGAAGCCAGCGCGCTACAAACAAGGCCCCAAACTGCGCGTCCGGCTCACAGAGGCGCTTCGACGGCCGCAGGGAGGCGCTGAACCGCGGGGACACAGGGCAGGACCGGCTCTACAGCTCCATCGGGCCGAACCGGGTCGTGTCGGGACAAACAGCGGAGCGAGTGTTTCTGTCGGAGCCGCGACTCACACAACAAGCGCTGACTGAGGCGGCGGAAGTGAGAGCGGAGCGGGACACGAGAGGACACCTGCAGGCGGGGAGGGACACCTGCAGGCGGGGAGGGACACCTGCAGGCGGGGAGGGACACCTGCAGGCGGGGAGGGACAGGGCAGAGACACTGGTGACCAGTGTTGGGGAGTAACAGATTACATGTACATGTACAGTGCATAATTTTCTTTAATCATACACATTTCACAATGTTGTTTTTACCAACCACTACAAACCAGAGATGTCCCAGTTTTGTTTTTATTTTTTTTATTTTTTTATTTGGTCACTCTAGTTTTAAGTAGAAGTTTGACAAACACAAAAAGGCTTTAAACATCACATTTACATGATCCTATGGTCAGTCTGAATGTTTGTGGTTCTGTTTAGGAGTTTTAGATGAGACTGACTCACTGATACTTATACTTGTATGTATATATGTATGTGTATATATGTATGTGTATGTATATGAGTATATATATATGTGTGTATGTATGTATGTGTATGTATGTGTACATATATGTGCATATTGGTGTATGTGTAAATATGTATATATGTGTATGTGTGTGTGTGTGTGTGTGTGAATATATATATATGTGTGTGTATATATATTCACACACACACACACACACACACACACACACACATATATATATATATATATATATACCTAGTACATGCTTAGTATATATTGTATGTATGTATTTTTTTCTTTCCTTTTTTTTTTTTTTTTTTTATTATTTTCTTGATTAAAAACATCAGATTAAAGTGTAATTAGAGTAGATGAGCTTCAGACAGAGCAGTGCTCACAGTTAGCGTCACACCTTCATGAGAAACAGTGTGGTGATAAAACACAGAATAACAAGACAAACATATTGGAAAAGTTTTATTTTTGTTATAAAAATAAATTTAAACCTGAGACTCTTCGTTTAAATATTTGATTTAAGACTAAAACAGCAGCTTTGAGTGTGATAAATGTAAATCACTGTTTGGCAAAAAACAAGAAGTGCACATGAAAGAAGAAGAATAACATTAAAATATTAAAACATTATAACATCACAGTTCAGTTTCCATCAAACACACAGCAGCATTTTAAAGACAATCCACATGTCATTCATTCATTTGATTTTCAAAATAAAACCAAAAATAAGAAAACGAAAAAACAACGATTTTCTTCATTATTTGTCTCCAAAACCAAAATGAAAAAAACAGCTAATGATCGTTTCCTGTTTGTGTGATTTAAACTGCAATGCCTGAGCCAGAACTAAACCAGGACTGAACCAGAACTAAACCAGGACAGAACCAGGACTGAACCAGAACTAAACCAGGACAGAACCAGGACTAAACCAGGACTAAACCAGGATTAAACCAGGACTAAACCAGGACTGAATCAGGACTGAACCAGGACTGAACCAGGACTGAGTGTTGGGTTGGGCCCAGAGGTGCGCCCACATAGACTGTTGGGTGATCAGGACTGAGACCAGGACCAGACCGAGATTGAGACCGGGACTGAGACCAGGACTGAGACCGGGACCAGATCAGGATTGAGACCAGAACTGAGACGGAGACTGAGACCGGGACTGAGACCGATACCAGACTGGCACAGAGACTGGGACTGAGACTGGAACTTAGACCAGGACCAGACTGAGACAGAGACCAGGACTGAGACTGGGACCAGACCAGGACCGAGACCAGAACTGAGACCGGGATTGAGACTAGAAATAGACCAGCCCTGAGACCAGGACCAACTAGGACTGGGACTGGGACTAAGACCAGGAGTGAGACCAGCTTAATCCTGGTTTAGTCCTGGTTTAGTCCTGGTTTAGTCCCGGTTTAGTCCTTGTCAGTCCGGCATTGCATTCATTTCATTTCATTTTCTTATTTTTGGTTTTATTTTGAAAAATGAATGAATGACTGAAACACAGATTCAGGACCAATATTAGCCTCATGTTTTCGGTCACATTTAGACTGAGCTCGTGCTCCACTGTGTTTTTAAACTCCACACACCTTCACCAGAATCATTTGGATCATTTCAGCCCCTGAGATTTTTCTGATCTCTACTGAACTAAAGCAAAAAGGAGCTGTTAAAACGACCACTTCATGACATCACAAGGTGGAACAGAGAGTTTGTAAAAGAGTATGAACCCTGATATCAGAACATGATTTAAATCCTCAGTAAAAGCGTCGGTTTTGTGTAATAAAGGTGCTGAAAGTGTCCCCAGAGTCGTGACGAGTGCGGTTCACAGATGTTTTTGTCCGACATTCAGAACAAAACTGAACTCAGACTCTTTCCTCTGACACGGAACCTGTGAGTCGCGCTTCACTTTCAGTTTCCTTGTGTGTAAGTTTCAAATGAATCAGCTCTTGGTCACCCTCTGCTCGTGTGGATCGTCCTGAGCCCCGGGGCGCTCACATATCTGTCATTTTTCTCCTGTAGACAAACGCAGCGTCAGAAACACACTGTGAGGCGGCTGAAGTGTCTTGCCCAAGGACACAATAGCACAATAGCAGCAGTGTTTTCAAAGAGTGCAGAAGAAAAGTCCAGTATTATGTAAAGTTGAGTCTGTTTTTATTCGTGTCCTAACACAGTTCTCTCCTCACAAACAGACCTGGAGTGTGTTTTGTTTCATTCACTCTTGTAGTTCTGGATTGTCGGGCCGTGAACATGTCTGAAGATAAAAATGCTCCGTTCCACTTTTTGTTTTGTTCATTCCAGAGCTGAATTCATGCGAGTGATTCTGGTGAAGGTTTGTGGAGTTTGAGAAAAGAACTCAGCCTAACTGGGTCAGTGACGTTTTGTTGTTTTCAAAAGCTCAAAAAATCCAACTGTTTATTTTATAATTTCATATGTGGCCCTTTTTGTACTTACTTACTTTGTACTCAAAAAAATGTCTTTTCTTTTGAAACAAATTTTGTGAAAAACTAAATCAGACTAACAACATCAGTCTAATGACCTTTAATATATTTATTGTCCAACTGTATTTTGAATTAATTAATCTACCAAACTTAATTTCCTTTATTTATGTGATTATTTTACATTTAAAATAAAATGTAATATAGAAGCAAACATAGTGAAATAATCCAAATACATTTGTAAAAGAAATACAGATATTATTGAGTTAAATGCTTCATGTTTTCATCAACAGTCACTCGTCTGTTTCACCAAATGACATGTTTTTCAAACATTTTTATTCTAAACTGTTTTATATTTTATCCATCAGAAAAACAAAAGCGTCAGTGTCGAGTCTCAAACAAACACTTCATTTTAATTGGAATATTTTAAAATGAAAACAGTTTTAAACACATGTTGAACCAAATCACGTCCAAAACTGTGACATTTGTATTTCTCGTGACAAAAGCGTCGCCAACAAAAACTAAAAGGACAAATCTGAATCTTCCACTTCAAAGTCCTGCAGGGTCCACACAGTGATGTCATCAGGTGATGTCACCACTGCAGGGTCCACACAGTGATGTCATCAGGTGATGTCACTACTGCAGGGTCCACACAGTGATGTCATCAGGTGATGTCACTACTGCAGGGTCCACACAGTGATGTCATCAGGTGATGTCACCACTGCAGGGTCCACACAGTGATGTCATCAGGTGATGTCACTACTGCAGGGTCCACATAGTGATGTCATCAGGTGATGTCACTACTGCAGGGTCCACACAGTGATGTCATCAGATGATGTCATCAGGTGACACATGAGGAATGATCTCAGATTATTGTTCAAATTGTCTCTTTAACTTCGTTTTACTGAATGACGTTGATGAAATCAACTTTTGGCGACAACTTTATTTAAGACATTAAAAGCATCATAATTCTTTTGTGTTCATTTTTTTTATGTTTCGTGCCAAGACTTTTAAAATTATGTCACAGAGGAAAGTTTATGATTTTATACATTTTTATAATTTGTGCAAATAAAAGTTTCACTGATTCTGTGTGTGACTCGTTTCACCAAATGACATTTTGATATTTTAAACCTGTAATATTCTTTTAAATTTGGTTTCTTCATCTAAACGTGTTTTGGTACAACCAAAGTGAAATAAAACAAATAAGTTTAAACCAGTTAAACCTTTATATATTAAGAACTCGAAAAGTGCCAAAGACACATGTGTTAAACATGTGAATGATACAAAACAAAAACTCCAGGTTTGTTTGTGACGAGGAAACGACATCATTATAACAAAGATCAAAAGTATCAGTAGTAAAACAAAGGTGTTAAAGAACTGAGTGCCGTATGGTCGGGGGGCAGTTGTCTACTCCGTTTGTCCTGGAGTTAAACAGGAAGTGCTTGGGCAGAATCCTGATGTTGTTCTGGTCCCAGTTGTAAAAATACGGATAAACTTTCGCCTTGAACCTGTGTCTGAACTTGTGGATGATCGTGTACGACTCCAGGTTTATCAGCGCCAACGATCCGCCGGCGAAGTCCAGCTCCAACCGGATCCGCGTCACTTCCTGCCCGCTCGGACTCGGGATGGCCAAGCCCTCGTATTCCGGCCCGAGCGCCATTAATCCGAAAAATCCGTTGACCAACCTCCAGGAATCTCCCTCTTCCAGTCGCTGATCCGGTTGTTTTTTCTCGATCACGCCCACACCCCAACATTTCGATTCTCCGACCTGCACGTCCCAGCAGTGCTTCCCGCAGCTGTAACCTTCCGATCCTAAAACGGACAAGAACGAAAGACGATCGAGTGTTTCCGGAAGTCTCTGGTCCTCTCCTTCTTTAAACGCCGTCAAATCTTCGGATAAAGTCAACAAATTCCCTGCCGTGTTCGGATCCAGAACCACGGGATAGTACCTCACGCATTTCAACATTTTCTGCCAGATTTTGAAGCTCAAATTCCCGAGGTGTTTTGCGACATCGAGGAGGTGATTCTCGCTGGAATCGCCCGGAACGTTCCTCTGCTGCATGGCTTTGTCGATGGCGGTTTTGCATTTTTCCCCGGACGCGTTTTCCTCGTTGAGCGCGTCTTCCGTCGCCCGCACGATCTCGGACAGCGACGCCATCTCGCGGCTCACGCTCTCCACCAGCTCCCTCAACCTCTGGCTCTTCCGCTCTTCCTCCTCCCGCAGATCCGCAATCCTCATCTCCTCGTCTTCCTCCAGAAACCTGTGCAGCATTTTAAACTGTTTCTTTATCTGACGTTCCGCCGTTTTACCCTGAACTTTCACGTGATCCAGAATCTTATCGTATCCATCTTTGACTTCCCGTAAACAGTCGATCCTCAGCTTCAGCGCGCTCAGCTTCTCCCTCAGCTCCAGCGGGTCGGTCTTCTTCTCTTGCTCCTGGAGGAAGGTCTCGCAGAGGTTTTTGAGGGCCAGGTTTCGCGGCGGGTTGGCCGTGGTGCACTTGGCTCGGCACACGGGGCAGTTCTGAGCGCGTTTCTCCCTCCACCACCGCTGCAGACAGTCGGAGCAGGAGCTGTGGCCGCAGGACAGGAGCACCGGGTTGTTGAAGATGTTCATGCAGGTGGGACACGTCAGGTCGTCCTCAGAGCGAGACGCCATCTTAGATCCTGGAGCACAGTCAGAGGAGCGACTACGGAGGGAAGAAACACAGAATGAATCATTATAACGGGTTTTACATTAACACTGTGAGTGCAGTGTGCAGTGTGCAGTGTGCAGTGTGCAGTGTGCAGTGTCACACGAGCGTCCAACGGCGTCATTACACTTCACTACTTTACACTTTGCTCAGATGAGTTTTTCAGCCTCATTAGAACTAGAGCCCGACCGATATGGATGTTGTTGTGGCCGATGTGAAACCGATATAATGGGAGTTGGAGCTGCCGATATAATCGCCGATATATTTAGTGATGTAAAAACTCACTGTAAATCTTGAATTGTTTAAAAAACTTAGGTTTGGCTCTGGTGGATTTTAAACTGGGTTTATTTAAGAAACATTTATTGTTCTTCTGACTCTTTACATCATATTTACAGACAGTTGGACTAATGACATTTTTGCATCACATTCTAGACACTAGTGATGGGGATTCCAGTTCTTTTTAGAGAACCGGCTCTTTTGGCTCGGCTCACTAAAGCAGCTGGCTCTTTTGGGTCCCAAGTGGCTCTTCAGATTGTTTTGTTGCAAACAGGACTAAAGCAGGACTAAAATGGATCATGTGTAAAACAGGACTAAACCAGGACTAAACCAGGACTGAGTGTCTGGACTCGGTCTCTGTCTCTCTCCGTCTCTCGAGCCCAGGATTAGTCCTGGTTTATTTATTTTATGCTGAACTACAGACAAACACGCACATTTTTCTCTCCTCTGCACATGCAGATTTCTGAAAGTTTTGTTTTCAGCCGCTGTCAAACTCCCACGAGTCTGAACACGACGTGAAGAGAAAAAAAAGTGAGAGAAACAGAAAACACGGCTCCCAATAAGGATCAGGCTCCTGTCGTTCGCTTCAAAGAGCCGGATCAAAGAGCCGCTTTGTTTGTGACCGACTCATCAATACTAGCGAGTAAATAAACAATCGCTATTAGCCTTTAGCCGTAAATGCTGCGCGCCGCGGTAATTAATTATATGTGCAAGTATCATCATTCACACGTCTGTTCACAGCTCATTTACATCAATGCAGCTTCAGGAACAAATATACGAACAATATAATCAATTTACAACAGATCAATAGAAAACAGACTGATTATGTGCAAGAGACACAACAGATCAACACTAACCCATAACAAATAACCAAAACCAGCTTCAAAGTCGACGTATTTCCAACACTCAGCCTCACACAGGCTCCTCCCACATCACACAGGCTCCTCCCACATCACACAGGCTCCTCCCACATCACAAGTCTGAACTAATAAAAGTCCTTTTAATCCAGACTCAAACCGATCGTCCATAAAAAGAAAATAATCTCAGTGTTTGGATCTGAGTCTGCGGCCGTAAACAAACACACGTGTGACATGACTCTGTGGTGTGTTCAGGGACAGTACGACACACACACACACACACACACACACACAGACAAATGACTCCACAGATAAATACTGATGTGGAGTCACATATTTGGACATTTATGTGTCTGTAAATTTGATTAAATGAACAGAATGTAGAGAGTCTAAGATTTATAACGACGTATAACATGACCACGGGAAATATCGGCCCATATCAGCAAACATTGGCCGATAGCTGATATGTCTCCAGGTGCCCATATCGGCCGATAATATCGGCCAGCCGGTATATCGGTCGGGCTCTAATTAGAACATCTCCAGACTCCAGGTCGTGTAAACACCGAGCGTCACATCAGGAGCTCAAGGAACGACTCGAGATGGACACGGACAGTTTAAATCTAAAACACCTGACCACATCAGACAGAAACTTTACAAGAACAAGTGAAGGAAACGACTCGAGGAGCAACGAGCAAAAGTGAAACGAGACGAGCTTCATGAACGCAGCTCCACAGATACGACTCGTAACACTGCAAAACCTAAACAAAACCTCCACAAAACATCACAAAACATCACAAAACCTCCACTCTGACACTTTAGTTTAGAGATTTAAAACAGAACAGAAACAATCAACAATGAAAACATGAACTATGGGAGAAGTTTAGAGTTTAAACGTGAGAATACACAGTTTAGAGTTTAAACGTGAGAATACACAGAGTTTAGAGTTTAAACGTGAGAATACACAGAGTTTAGAGTTTAAACGTGAGAATACACAGAGTTTAGAGTTTAAACGTGAGAATACACAGAGTTTAGAGTTTAAACGTGAGAATACACAGAGTTTAGAGTTTAAACGTGAGAATACACAGAGTTTAGAGTTTAAACGTGAGAATACACAGAGTTTAGAGTTTAAACGTGAGAATACACAGAGGCTGGAGTCCCTGATGTCAGATCTGTGTCTCTGGTGTAAAGTGAAGTTTTTTAAAGTGTGTCCGTCTGCAGTTCTGGGAAGAGTCCGTGTGTCTCTGTCGCTCTTGTTGTAAATTCCGGGTCAGAGTTCTTCCCACAAATGAAGTTCCTGCTCGTCACATCAGGTTTGTCGAGTCTCTGTCGACTGTTTTGTGTCATTTGTGCCTCGTGACTTTCTCATTTCTGCTCAATTTAATCTGTTACAAACACAAATCCTTCAAGACTCAATAAAAAGGCCACGACGGGAAAAACAAGCAGAAATATTGACGTGAAGTGTGTTTTAGTAAAACGAGCAGTTGAACCTGTCACAGACTCGTCAATCAAAAACACCTGAACAACATTTTACAAACACGTCTCTTTTATCTTTCAACCACGTCAATCATTTGTCACATGAAACAGTTTTCATCAGAAAGTCTGGAGGAGACGATCCTGTCACAGGACGAGGCCCGAGCTGCTGCTGCTGCTGCTGCTGCTGCTGCTGCTGCTGCTCCCCCACGTCTAAAACCACAAACTCACAGTTTGACCTGCTGATGATTACAGGCAGAGTCGGGAGTAACAGATTACAAGTACCAGAGTTATGTAATCAGAGTACAAATGATGAGTAACTGTATTCAGTTACAGTTACTGTTTCAGTGAGTGGGAATTGGATTACAGTTACTTTGTTCAAATAAATGGATTAAACAGAGGGATTTAACTGTTTTCACATTTTGGGCTAAACCAGGACTAAACCAGGTCTAAACCAGGTCTAAACCAGGACTCTAAACCAGGTCTAAACCAGGTCTAAACCAGGTCTAAACCAGGACTAAACCAGGTCTAAACCAGGACTAAACCAGGTCTAAACCAGGTCTAAACCAGGTCTAAACCAGGTCTAAACCAGGTCTAAACCAGGTCTAAACCAGGACTAAACCAGGTCTAAACCAGGTCTAAACCAGGTCTAAACCAGGGACTAAACCAGGTCTAGGTCTAAACCAGGACTAAACCAGGTCTAAACCAGGTCTAAACCAGGTCTAAACCAGGTCTAAACCAGGACTAAACCAGGACTAAACCAGGTCTAAACCAGGTCTAAACCAGGACTAAACCAGGTCTAAACCAGGACTAAACCAGGTCTAAACCAGGACTAAACCAGGACTAAACCAGGACTAAATCCTGCTGTGTGGACGTTTTTCCTCGTTTTCTATAATAATATTTTTTATTTGGTTAAATAAAGTCTGGACTTTTTATTTTCTTTTATCAAATAAAACTTCTTATGTGTAATTTTCCTCGTCTTTGTTTCTCTACAGAAAATCAAGTAATCCAAAGTAATCAGATTACATTACTCACTTTAAGTAATTTAATGGATTCTGTTACAAACTACATTTTGGTGTGTGTAATCTGTAATCTGTAGGGGATTACATTTTAAAAGTGACCTTCTCAACCCTGATTATGAGTCAGATCTGTGCAGAGGCGAGTCCGATCACGTTACATGTTTTTGAGAAAGAAAATCTCCGGTGCCGATGCTTTTACTTGAGTAAATGTTGCGTTGACCGAATGAGTTTCATGAGTTTTGGTGGTTCACATCAGATCAGACACCGACTACGAAGGAAACGAGTCGCCGTGGCAACTGTTTACATTTCACACCATAAAAAAGACGATGACGGAACATTACAGCAGGTTTACAGGAAACGGCCGAGTTCACGGGTCAGAGTCTGAGGACGAACGGCGAGTACAGAGAGAAAACAAGACACAAATCCAGCGTCTGCGTCGTTTATACGTGAACCTGACCTGTTATATAAAGCCATACTGTGGAATATTCCAGACACAACACATCAGATGGTCGACTCCGCAACAGAAAAGTTAAATTTCTCTGCGTTTTGTAATAAAGAGTCTTGTAAATGGAGACTCTTTCATAGAAAATAACATGAAAATAAACTTAGAATTCATTTAAAAAGTCAAGTGGAAACAAACTGAAACCATCAATAACATTCTACTTTCACTTTCAGCTGCTTTTATCTGACTTTAAACTGGTGGAGAGCAGCGGCGGCGGCGGCGGCGGCGGCTCACGTCCAGACGCGCGCACGGACACATTAGAGTTGTTAAAGTAGAGTTATTTTAGAGTTTTACCTCGTGGAGCAGGTCCGGAGTCCGTCTGAGGGAAAAACCATGGGCTCAACTCGAGAAGCACCAAAACATTTCCTGATTCGTGACACTTCTTCTGTGGTCGGACTGGAAAGAGGAACACTGGCCCCTGGAGGTCACAAGAAAGAGTACAACAAAAAAAAAAAAAAAAAAACCAAAAAAAGACCCAGGCGGAGGTTCATGTGACTGTGGTCAAGGGTTCACTCGCTTTTTCAAAACTTTTCCAGGACGTAAAGTGAATTTTCCATGACTTTACAGCACCTACATGTGAAGAACTGATCAGACTTTTTAGGACTAAATCTGAAGACAAAACTCAAATAAAACAGAATCATATAAATATAAAAGTACAAGTCAAAATAAAATAGAAAAAATAAGTAATAAAATATAAAATCTCAGTTTTATTCAAGACGACATAGAAAAACAAAGAAACTATGATCTGATGATTGACAGGACAGTTGTAGGGAGTATTATCTGTCACATAAGGATGAGTCGTACAGTTGTAGGGAGTATTATCTGTTACATATGAGTGAGTTGTACAGTTGTAGGGAGTATTATCTGTTATATAAGAGTGAGTTGTTGTACAGTTGTAGGGAGTATTATCTGTTACATAAATGTGAGTTGTAGGGAGTATTATCTGTTACATATGAGTGAGTTGTACAGTTGTAGGGAGTATTATCTGTTACATAAGTGTGAGTTGTACAGTTGTAGGGAGTATTATCTGTTACATATGAGTGAGTTGTACAGTTGTAGGGAGTATTATCTGTTACATAAATGTGAGTTGTAGGGAGTATTATCTGTTACATATGAGTGAGTTGTACAGTTGTAGGGAGTATTATCTGTTATATAAGAGTGAGTTGTACAGTTGTAGGGAGTATTATCTGTTATATAAGAGTGAGTTGTACAGTTGTAGGGAGTATTATCTGTTATATAAGAGTGAGTTGTACAGTTGTAGGGAGTATTATCTGTTCCATAAGGGTGAGTTGTACAGTTGTAGGGAGTATTATCTGTTACATAAGGGTGAGTTGTTGTACAGTTGTAGGGAGTATTATCTGTTACATAAGAGTGAGTTGTTGTACAGTTGTAGGGAGTATTATCTGTTACATAAATGTGAGTTGTAGGGAGTATTATCTGTTACATATGAGTGAGTTGTACAGTTGTAGGGAGTATTATCTGTTATATAAGAGTGAGTTGTACAGTTGTAGGGAGTATTATCTGTTCATAAGGGTGAGTTGTACAGTTGTAGGAGTATTATCTGTTATATAAGAGTGAGTTGTACAGTTGTAGGGAGTATTATCTGTTATATAAGAGTGAGTTGTACAGTTGTAGGGAGTATTATCTGTTTATAAGAGTGAGTTGTACAGTTGTAGGGAGTATTATCTGTTATATAAGAGTGAGTTGTACAGTTGTAGGGAGTATTATCTGTTCCATAAGGAGTGAGTTGTACAGTTGTAGGGAGTATTATCTGTTATATAAGAGTGAGTTGTACAGTTGTAGGGAGTATTATCTGTTACATAAGAGTGAGTTGTACAGTTGTAGGGAGTATTATCTGTTACATAAGGATGAGTTGTTGTACAGTTGTAGGGAGTATTATCTGTTATATAAGAGTGAGTTGTACAGTTGTAGGGAGTATTATCTGTTACATAAGGATGAGTTGTACAGTTGTAGGGAGTATTATCTGTTACATAAGGGTGAGTTGTACAGTTGTAGGGAGTATTATCTGTTACATAAATGTGAGTTGTAGGGAGTATTATCTGTTATATAAGAGTGAGTTGTACAGTTGTAGGGAGTATTATCTCTTAGCAAAAGAGCAAACAGAAGTGTTTACACTGAAGGGTTTTTCGAACACTGTCATGGAATTAAAAAAAAAAAAAAAAAAGCCACAACAGTTTTTCAGTTTGTCGTTTTCTCTTTTGTTGTTCTGGACTTTTCATGTTTCACGTCTTCTGTCCTCTCTCTCTGTCTTCTCTGTCCTCTCTCTCTCTCTGTCTCTCTGTCTCTCTCTCTCTCTGTCTCCTCCTGTCCTCTCTCTCTCTCTGTCCTCTCTCTCTGTCTCTCTCTCTCTCCGTCCTCTCTCTTCTCCGTCTCTCCTGTCCTCTCTCTCTCTCTCTGTCCTCTCTCTCTTCTGTCTCTTCTGTCTCTGTCTCTCTCTCTTCTGTCTCTCTGTCTCTCTCTCTCTCTCTTCTGTCCTCTCTCTCTCCGTCTCTCTCTCTCTGTCTTCTCCGTCTCTCCTCCTCTCTCTTCTGTCCTCTCTCTTCTGTCCTCCGTCCTCTCTCTGTCCTCGTCTCTCCGTCTCTCTCTCTGTCTTCTGTCCTCTCTCTTCTGTCCTCCGTCCTCTCTCTTCTGCTCCTCTCTCTTCTGTCCTCCGTCCTCTCTCTTCTCCGTCTTCTGTCTCCGTCTCTCTCTCTGTCTCTCTCTTCTTCTGTCCTCTCTCTTCTGTCCTCCTTCCTCTCTCTTCTGTCCTCTCTCTCTCTTCTTCTCCGTCTCTCTTCTGTCTCCGTCTCTCTCTCTTCTCTCTCGTCCTCCTGTCTCTCTCTCTTCTGTCCTCCGTCTCTCTCTTCTGTCCTCCGTCCTCTCTCTTCTGTCCTCCGTCCTCTCTCTTCTGTCTCTGGGTTCACTTCAGTTCGTTCTGGCTCGGAGCCGGACTTTATTGAGCCAGATTCCCCCCTGAGAGTTGGACACACGTCTGGCTTCAGTCCTGAAGGACACAGACTAAAGACGAGTCCAGTCGTGTGTCAGATGCCCTCCCAAACAAACAAAACACCCCCGCGCTTCAACACGTCCACACGCGCTCACTTTTGTAATTCAAGTTCTTGTTTTATTTTGTAGTTTTTAAAATATAACAGACGGGAGCACGAGACTTTAGGCTGAAGGGATAAAAGTGTTTAAGAAGTGACGTGTAAATGTGCAGGACAAACTGTGACGTCCAGTCTACTCCAGAAAATATTTTATATACAAGAAAATAAGAAAAAGTCTGAAGAATGATGTTCCAAACAAAAGGAGCCAATAGAATCGACACATAAAAAATAATAAAGTCAATGAACAAAAATAATAATAAAAAAAAGATACAATCAATAAAAGACACAGAGGAGCACATAGATCAGGCGGTGTGAAAAGCCACAGAATAAACGTGGGTTTGAAGACGAGAATTAAAACTCTCCACCCGCTCCAACAAAAATAAAGAAATAATAATAAAATAAAACTGTCAAAATCATGTGACAAGCCTCCGTGACTCTGATCTCAGTTTTAACCTCTTACAAACACAAATTTTAAGACTAAAAATTAAGATTATTTTTTTTTAAAAGGCCACACTGGGAAAACAAGCAGAAATACTGATGTGACTGTGTTGTAGTAAAATGAGCAGTTGAACCTGTCACAGACTCTTGAACCTGAACAAGATTTTACAAAACTGTCTCTTTTATCTTTCAGCCAAGTTAATCATTTGTCACATTAAACTGTTTTCATCTAATTGTTCGTCCGTGTGTTAAATCAGGGGTGGACAATTATTTTTTTCCATGGGGCCACATGAGAAACAGAAAATATTGTGGAGCCAAAATGTTTTTTTGTTTGTATTTGCATTTAAAAAAAAAAAAAAAAGCAGAAAATGTCATTGTTGTGTTGAGCTGCTCAGACTGTGAAGAGTTTATGTTGTGACTAAGTTATGAAAAAGTGAAGCTGCCCAACAAAAAATGTCATTTAAAAAACACATTTGAAATAAAAGCAACGCAGATTTAGTCCAGGCAGGAGGTCAAACGATAAAATATGTTTATTTTGTGATTCAAACAAAGGGCCGAATGTGGCCCCGGAGCTGAACAAGGCCCCGGTCTGTGTTAAAGTCTGCAGGAGGAGGATCCTTCCACACACTTTAACCTTTAAAACCACATCCTCACATTTTATACCCGTGGACGTATTGATTAATCCTCAAGTAAACAAAATGTTGGCGACCTGCGTATCGTCCTGCAAATCCACCTTCCTGTACTTTCTACTCTCCTTTCCATATGTTCTATATCTTCTATTTTCCTTTCTGTAAGTTCTGTTCTAATTTCTGTACGTTCTTCTCTCTCCCAAAAGGTTCACTTCCCGACATTCCCAAATAACCTGCAGAAAAGTTCCAGCGGTCGAGTGACATTTCCAGCACTTGTCATTCACCGTGAGCCTCGTTCTTCTGAGTTTCAATGAGGTTTAATCATCAAATCACCATCAACATTTGAAATTTAAAACAATCCAAGAGGCGCGTGTGTTTCAGAACATGTTTGTGGAGTTTAAACGACACGGGGAGGGCATCTGACGCACTCTTCACTCAAACTCTGTACTTTGGCTTTAATAACACAAACAGCAGGAGCACGTACGATGGGGACGCTCTTCTGGCACTAAACCAGACCAAAACCAGGACTCCCTCTGAAACAGGGCCAAACCGAGCCAGCCCAAGTCCAGGCCAAGTCCAGGCCAAGTCCAGGCCAAGTCCAGGCCAAGTCCAGCCCAGGTCCAGGCCAAGTCCAGGCCAAGTCCAGGCGTGATTAAAAACAGTTTGAGCGAGTCTCCCGATGAGAAACATTCACCGAAAAACAAAAGAGGAGACAGAAAACTGGCAGAGCTTTAAGCAGGACGAGGACAGAGCCAAGACGAACTGTTACTCAAATCATATAAAGAAAATAAAAACATGAAACAACAGTAAAAAACTAGAAAAGCAGTGAGAGAGCGCAGACCTCCGCCAAGGACCACCCCCAGTTTTTATAGAAATTGCAATAAAATCCGTCTTGTGGATCAGATCCGGATCAGCCTTTGGAATATGAAAGAGGATCCACCTGTCCATCCCTGAGTCAAATGTCATGGGGTTTGGTCAATAATTAACTGAGATATTGAGAAACTAAATGTTTGGCCCCAAATACCACAATGTTAACTACAATTTCAAAGTGATCCAGAATCCAGGATTTCTTCCGGATCAGCCCCAAAATGAAATCAGTTCTTCCTTTTCACATTTCCAACAAATCCTGAAAATTTCATCAAAATCGGTCCATAGCTTTTTGAGTTATGTTGCTAACAGACAAACAAACAAAACAAACAAACAAACAGACAAACAAACAAACAAACAGACAAA